AGCATTGAGCAAAGCGTGTTGCACTTCGGTTATCATCAGTTGTCCGCTGCAGTTTGTGTTTAGCGCCACCTTCAGGCAGGCCTCAGTTCTTTTTCTCAGTAAATCATGCTGTTGCTTAGTCTAAATTCCTCTTTTTTTTCTTCCTGAAGAACTTTTAGCATTATGTCTTCATGTCAGTGGCACGCCCCTTACCCCCTTTTTTTAATTTGTACTCAAATTAAATATAATTTAATTAGCTGTTTATGGTGTCATAGCACAGCAAGAAGGCCGCTGTTTCGGCTCGCAGCAATTGTTTGGGCGTTTCCAAAGACATTTCCCGGTTCTTCGCCTCGCGGTTTGGCAGCAGCCGAGCGGCCATTTCTGCTCTCCGTGGCGCGCGTGTGTGACGTCGTCAAAGAAAAGGTTTAGCTTTTAATTGGGCTTTAATTTGTTCTTTTTTTTTAGATTTTTTTTTTCTCGGAGGCAGCGGGTGGAGGATTCATTTTGCACATCTCGCTGCGTTTCGTTTCCTCTCTTTAGTTCACGTTGTTTGAATCTATGTAAAGAAAAGTGAGAGAACGCTCTTTGTGTCGCTCAGAGCTGAGGTCGGGGTTTAAAGGGCACCACTTGGTCTCAGTATGAACCCTTTTGCGAGGCACTCGGGATATAGTCATTTTTCTGACTCAGTAGAAGAAGGAAGACTGACCTCTGACCCTAAGTATTTTGTACTTCCTGACTAGATCTTATCACCATGGCAACTCTCTGGAAAATCTCCTCAATTATGTTTCGAAGTGAACTTTATTTATCATCTTATGAAGGCTGATCGGGTATCAAGCACCTGCATGATCTCCTCTGGTTCATTCAGTCAAGAGCCTGTGAAAGTTCAGAGGGCGTTCTTGTCAGTTTTAGTCTTTTTCCAGCCGGCAGGATGTTTTCTGGACGATCACGTTGTGCGATGATCCCATCAAAGCAGCTATTTATGGAAGAAAGAGGGGGGAGGATAAGCTGATGGGAAAATTCAGCAGTCTAACAGAGCCAGTTTAATGGCTTGACAGCCTTTGCTACAAGTGACCTTAAGTTTTTTTTTTTTTTGGAGTGATTCCAAAAGAGTTTTGTATTTCAGTCTCTAAACAGGATGTACTTTGGATAGACCATCTCCATGCTCTGGCAGCGGAAACGCAGAGTGAAAAACACGCCGGTGTTCCTGAGTGTTTACACTTGAAAGATAACAGGGACGCTGTGGAGCTTCGTCTCACTTCTACACATCCTTGCTTTCTGTATACTGGGCTTTACATTTCTTGTGTGCTTTTTGCATTTATACTGAAGAGTTCAAACAGTTTCATTCACCGCAGCTGGTAGTGAGAACTGAAATCCGTTCAGCTGATAGATTGTCATTTTCAGACGCATCACGTGCTTATTTTACACAATTCTTACAACACTTTATGTTTATATCAATTTAGTGCATTATGGGAGGTGTATATACTGTCTGTATGCCCCAATTAAGAGCTTGCGTTTAGTTGATTACTAAATTAGATAGATAGATTTTTATTACACAGACTCAAAGTCCAAATATACATAAAAAGAAAAGAAAAACAATAAAAGAATAAAAAGTGCGTTAAAAAATGGCAACTAACACGTCAGGAGGCAATCACACCAATGTCTCCAGAGTAGTTGACGATTCTTTTAGTAATCGATTAATCGTATCAGCCCTGAATTCAATACTGAGTCAAAGAGGGCATTTAAGCCCAAAAAATCATCAAACGCAACATAATAATGATAAAAATAACTTTGTGCAAGCCTTCACAGGTAATCAGTTGTGAAGTATTTGCTGGCGGTGGCTGTTCCAACTAAATTCAGATCAATTTGCTGAAAGTTTGATGTGAAAAGAGTCCCTGACAATCTCAAGACTCCCCTGTCGGGTTTTCCCTGGACTCTGCCGGTCGCTATCAAGGTGCATGTTTCCACTTGCAGCAACAAAGCTGAGCTGAGTTTGATCCGGAGGCCTGCGAGGAAAGAGGTTTGCGAACCCAAACGCTGGATCAGAACACAACATCGGTTTTTCTGCTGAACGAGGTCGTCATCTCTGGAGAATGAAACTCTTTGTGCAGATGAATGAAAGAGTCGTTTTCAGCTGGAGAAGTTCTGTTTGAACTTTTTTTAAAGTTTGGCGCAGGCCGAAACCTTCGCAGGAGAAACCCAGCATCAAGCAAGACGTGAAACGTTACTGTGGAATGGTTGCAGTCTGGATTGCTCTGCTCGCTCTGGGATGCTGCAGCTCACGGTTGCTGCTTAACGTTTCCACCGAAAATCAAAATGAAAAGCTGAACGTGAACTGTAAACTAACCATTCCGACAACATGATTGATTCATTGTGGATTCACCTAATAGACCCAGGACGGCTCTCTGTCGGGAAGCCAAAGTCAAACCTTTGAGTTGAATCCAGTCGAAACACTTTGGGAGAAATCTGAAGTGATGCTGGGAAGACCCCCGAACATCTGGCACATGAAGAGGCCTGCTGCATGAAAGAGAAGTCGAATGTTTTACTGCCACAGAGGCGAGTGGAGAATTATGTAAAGTACCTACATCAAGATACAAGCTGCATGAAGTCAGATGTGCCTCCTGCCTCAATTAAGCGCGGCAACATCTGTCAAAAACGCGTTTCCTTTCTGTTGCTGTTGTCGTCTGGGACCGCAGAGGAGCAGAAGCTGCAAACAACCAGGAGACGCTTCACACTTATTACCTAAACAAGTTGCAATTTTTTAAAAACATAATTGTAAGGTGTTGTAATTTTTATACTCTCATTGAACAACTGCAGATTGCAGTTTTTTGACAAAAACATCCCACACTTGCATTTTCACAAATGCAAGTGAGACTCAACTATCCGTCGCTGACGTTTCATTTCTTTAATACGGCGCCCCCTAGAGGATGCGGGGGATTTGTTTTTTATTTCATTAATTTTTTTTGCGCTGCCTCGCAAAACGTTTGCGTTCTCTCGCAATAATGCACTGATCAGTTCATCATTGTGAGTTTTGCTCAATGATGAACTGAAGGGGAAAAAAACCCGGATCTGAACTACTTGGACCATTTCTGAGTCAAAGTCAAAAAATGTCCCCATGTCCTGCAGGGGGCTCCATACTTTAGAGCGTTAATAGGGTTTTTTCTTTAATGCTGCAGTTTTGATGTGTTTGTTTTTATGCAAGAAGGCAACATACAACATTTACACGACGGGAATCAGAATTTGCGTCAATATTTGGTTTATGTGATTGTTAATAATTGGCAAAATGAAAATAAAAAGTTCTTCAGTTGAATCAGGGCAACATGTCCAGCGTCATGAGTCAAACATTAGTCTCTCTAGAAGGAATGAACCCAGAAACACTTCACACTGACATGCTTATATTTAATTAAGTCTGTGAATGTAAGGAAACAACCGAAATTTACAGCTGTGCTATTCCACAAATAAACTTTCTTTAACTACTGGGAAAAGGGAACAAACCTTTCCTGCTTTAGAACTCCAAAAATGATTTCTGCCTGTTAAATGCCACAATAATGAGCATGAAATACTTTTAGAGATTATTTTCATCACTTTTTTCCCCCCCAGATTCACAGATTAGCGTACGTCGGTTAAGCAATACTATTTGGGCCAAATCTTTGGGAGTTTCTTTTTCAAACGTCTCACAGATTGCAGGAACTTTGTCCCAGATCTCCAGGCTGAATCGCTGTAACTGAATCAGGTTCACAGACCGCTCTGCTCATACTCAGACATTTTCTGCTCTGCACTCTGAGCTGTTTGTGAACAAACTTGCACGTTGTGTTTTTCAGAAATCGGAAGCAATGCACGGCTCTCTTCTTATCCAGCATGAAGAAATACTCACGTAAATCCCCAACGTAACCCATTGGAAAACATGTCTATAATGATGTGGAAAATGTATTTTGGTAACTTTCTTCAGTTGTCTGTAGATCTGGCTGCTGTCAGGAAAAGAAAAAGGACGAAGCTGAGGTGTTGCGTCAGTGTTGCGTTTTATTTTCTCTCGCTGCTTCTGCACCTTTTCCGACTTCGATCCTCCTGCAGCTTTCAGTGCCCCCAGATTCACCTCACAAACAAGCATCATTATCTGTTCTCACAGTGGAGGCGATAAAGCCACTTCCCTTCCATCCTCGGCCCGATTGCATCGCCGCACTGCTTCCGCTGTGACACGGATAATGCTGGATGCCTTCAGATCCTGAGCCGTCTTCAAGCCTCGCTCATACAGTTTTCCTTCCCTTTCTGCAGCGGCTCGGCATTTTCTGTCCAAAGAGAGATTTTTTTTTCCTGAACTTGCTTGGCTTCCCAAGGAAATTCAAATCTGTCTTTGCATCGCCCTGAGATAAAGTGTTTAGTTTTATACGTCTTGGTAACTTGAAACTGACATTTTCAGTGAGGTGTTTTTGAAAATTTACACATTTTTTAATAACTGAAATTGGTGCAGTATAGCAATAAGCCATCATAATCAGATTGCTGGTAATCCAACATCATTTGCTAAATGGACGTTCATCTCAAATCTTGCCATTCTGTGTTTGGATAGGAAGCACTTCCAACCAAAACCAAGTTGAGACAATCTGAACTAGGTGAGATTTAGAGACTTTCAGTCTTCCTCCAGCTCCTCTGTTGGGCGTGTTGGAACGGCCTCCATCATTCTGACGGAGCAGGAAAAACGCCAGGTGTCGTTTCTCCAGCAGAACTTTGCAGATCTCTGACAATCTGAAGTATTTACACCGCCACAGTGCGTTTCCCTCCAGCAAGGCGTCCTGTAACAGACGGAGCCGCAGACTTGTCCGCTGTCTCTAAACGGGACAGAAGCGGCTCGTTTGTAGGGTTGACCTCAAATGCTATCTCCCCTGGTGGTCTTCAGGAGCCAAAAAGCATCAAGGATCTAATGCTGAGGTAACTCTTCGCAGCAGAAGCGTGGAACAAATTCGCTCCTTTGCAAAAAGATTTCACCCGAGATCTTGACAGAAGAGGCACCTGCTTTTATGCGGAACAGATGAAATTATGCAATATTTATTTATTTGCCTGTGTGCAGTGACACAATACAAGATGACCTTATGAAGAGGACAAGTGTTTACAAATAGTTTACAGCCTCAACAGCATGAGTGATTACAAATCTGTCTGCCATTATAGACAGAAAATATACAAATATGTACATTAAACTGCTCCGCAGTTTGTAGTCTGTCCAGCAAGAATACAAGGCGTTTCTTTAGTAAATCCCTGATGGATGCTTGGATTAGAACACACAGCAGATTTGTTGTTCATTTTTCTAATGTTCACTTCACTAACATAATAATAAAAAAATAATAATACAGGTTTACATGTGAAAGAAAAGCAACAGTGAGTGATGATTTTTGTGGATTTTATGTAATAAATGTACACTAAATGTTGAAAGAGATATTGGTTTGTGATGAAACTTGACCTAATTTTGAATGTTTTCTTGTTCAGTTGATGGGCCGGGTTTTTGTCACAGCAGCAATTAACTTAGCAATGGAACGAATAAGGTTCACAATATTTTGATACTGTGATTGCTAAAAATATCTGCTTTTTTTTTTTTTTTTTTTTACAGAATTATATTCAGCCACACCTCTTTTCATGTTCTTTATAATTAACACAGCACTCTGAGAAAACAAGCAAACAGAAAAATACTCCTGGCCTGTCAGACAGGGTTAGGGTTATGAGGAGGGTTAGGGTTAGGGTTAGGGAAGAACCTTTTTAAGATCTGGGTCAAACAAAACTTTAATTATGAGCAAAAAGCAAAGACTGCTGACAGTCAAACTTACAAAATGGAGGACTGCCTACATAGGAATTGGAAAGAAATACTCCAGCAGTGTTCACACTGGCATAAAGTCTGTACTTGTTTGTACCGCTAAGTCAGGATCAAGTTACTTTAAAGGTTTTTTTTTTTTTTTATAATTTTAGCTTCAGATCTCTTAGATATTTATTATCATTTCTGCTTTACACTGAACGATTTATCAAAGGAGTATACATCTTTTGAACATTTGAGGAGTCTTCTTTTTATGGCCAAAAAGTTAATAGCTATAACTCTATCTAATGGCTAGCTACTAAAACTAATAGCTAATTAATATAATATCTAATAATTAAGTTAATAGCTAATGAATATAGCCAATAGCTAACTAATAAAGTTAAAGGCTAATAACTATTGCTAGTAGCTAACAACTAGCACTAATGGCTAATAATTAAATGAATAGCTCATAACTAAAGCTAATAGCTAATAACTAAAGTTGGTCCACAAGAGATGGCCCTATAGATATTTTAGAGTTGGTCTGATTGCATTTAAACACATTTTATTTCCATAAAGCCAGTGAAAAGGATTTCTGAGGGAATTATTAGCACCGCAAAGAACAGGAAGCATGACCTAATTTGTACAAAAATGCAATTCAAGAACAACAACAAAAAAAGATTTCTCGGTTTCCTTTCTCAAATACTACGTTTTTATTGTTCCTCTTTATTTTGGTTTTTTTGATTTTTTTTCCTTCAGCCTCTATTTATGAAAGCAGCACATTTCCACTCACTGGTGGCAGGAATATTTGATAGCACCACTTGTACAATGTTCTCTACCACAATGGTTTGTGAGGTTTGTGGTAGAGAACATTGAGAGGATTGAGAGGATTGAATAAAGTGAATAACCGAACACAGACGCTCTGCCAATCCTGATTTCACTTCCAGTCTCACTGGATGCCCGGCGCCACCAGGTATCCATTGAACGTGATGTAAACATCCACATCGTCGCTGTAGATGGCGTTCTCGCGCTCCCTCTTGTAGAGGCGGACCCACACCTCGTCGTTCAGGGCCAGGTCCAGCATGACGCTCTGGCTCTGCATGATGGACCTCTCGCTGGGCTGCGCGTACAGGATCACCTTCTCCTTGTCGTTATGCATGAGGTGCAGGTAGGTCTCCTTGAAGTTCCAGGTGTGGATGTTGACGTTGAAGAAGTAGATCCCCGGCACGTAGCAGTAGAACTTTCCCTTGAACATGTTGAAATGCTCGTGGAGGTTGACGAACACCGTGTCGAAGACCAGCGCCTGGTAGTACTCCACGCTGTGCAGGGACTTGCGGCGGCCGACGGAGAACGAAGAGTGCGGGATCTTGCAGGCATCGCCAGGGGCGCCCACCTGGCCTTTGCTGCCCTTTGGGCCCAGGGGTCCACGCTGCCCGGCGGGCCCTTCCAGACCCGGCTTCCCGGGCGTGCCTTTGTCTCCTCGGTCGCCTTTGTCACCTGCAGACACAGGAGCAGAGGGAAGTTTGATGGAGGAATTTGCTATCTACATAAAAGACAATGCACATAGTAATGATCGCTGTGCATATGCTATGACCTTGGTTGTTTTTGAGGTTTGTTTATTCTGTGTTCCTTAGTTTCTTTGTTTGAATAGACCAGTCTTGTTTCTGTTCCACTCTAGTATAATTCTTCTTAGTGTTTCTAGTTATGTTTATTTTTGTCTCTAGTTATTCCTTGCGACTCCAGTTTAATTATGTTTCTTTTGTTATTTTGTTAGATTAATTTTCTAATCCTGAGTATGTCTCTTCCTCGCCCTCCCTGCTCTCACACCTGCAACCAGTTAGCCAATCAGCCCACGTCTTTTGTTCATCGTTCAAAAAATGAATCGGTCAATGTTTTTCCTAGCCAAATTTATTTATTCGTTTTTAGGTTTAATTTAGACTATTCCTTCATTTCTCCTGTTTATATCAGTGATGTGTTCAGTCCACTTCACATAGAGCACAAAATGATGAATGCACCAAGGCCTCTTTACAAATAACATGTTGGTGATACAAATACAGGCTTATGCTTCAGCGCTTTTAATAAATCAACATCCAGGGCTTCTCTGAATCGTTTTTTTTTTTTTTTTTTTGATGCATTTCCCTTTGATAGAAATTGTCAAAAGTTGTAAAGATTACTGGCACTGGACTGCCTGATTGTTTACCAAGAATCATTGATCTGTGGTTGATTTTAAAAGTGGTTCCTGGTCGTTTCTATCAATGGAGCGTCTAATTTCCCCTTCAACAGCATGTTTCGTATCTCATTTCCACTTACCCATGAATGCATCGTTACAGTCGGCTGCTCGGTTCCAGGGTAATTGCACTTCTGATTGAGCACTACTACATCGAGGCACACAGCCTTCGGCTTTAACTTTAAAAGTTGCAAATCTGCTTTAGCAAATTTGCAACTTTTCAATCTCTGACATTTCCACATTTAAATGATTAATTTCAAAATATTCTAGTTTTTTCCAGCATTTTTTTTTTTGGGGGGGGGACTTTACAAACTCAGAAGTTTCTTAATTCTTCTTTCTAGAAAATTTCTGAGATACTTGAGCAGAGATTTACTGCTCTCCCTATTGTCTATACAAAGGCCCTAATATGTCGTCATAGAAATGAAACACTTGCAGAGACACAAGGATTAAAACGTCCCAGTGAAGCACCATATATCTTCTGCATTTCTTCCGTCATGGACTTTCTGTGCTTTAGGAATCAGAAGAAAAGCAAAACCCTGATTTTCTCTCTGATCTTTAAGCCTCTTCCTACAACAAACACCGTGACACAGGAAGCGAGCTGGACCTGCGGTACCTTTGAGAATGGTCATGTTGATGACAGTTCTGACTTCAGGCATTTGGTACTGAGCGGTGGTGGCCGGCGGATCCAGCTGGTCGCAGCATCGCCTGCAGAGCCGAGACGGCGATCTGGGCGAAGAGGAGACGCAGCACACCAAGGCGAGGAGGAACAGCAGGCTGGAGCTGGCAGTCAACATGGCTGCCATCACCTGAGGAGGCAGGACAGAAAAAACAAAAACCAACATATTCATTGAACTATGCTGGAAAAATAAATATAAAATGTTCTTTTTTTTTTAACAATATATATATATTCTCTTTCAAAGTCTGGAACATCAAGTAAAAGCTGAAACCACAATTTTCTTTGTTGATCTGACTGTGTTAGAGTTTTTATTTATTTATTTTTGCATTCCTGTGGATTTCTGGTCAAATGTGCAAATGCTTCTCTAACACAAAGAATATCCTCCCCCAAAAGTAATTCTCACACATGACTGCCAAACTTTATGAATCTGGCCATAACTCTTCTAGCTTAATGGGGCCCTGGAACGCGCTGCCCATCCGAGACACGCAGGATGAAGCATGCTGCATTTACTGCGATTTCTCCAGGGATTCAGACTCGCAAACATAAAAACCGAAGCAAATCCTACACACTCCCCGTGGCTGATTCCCATTCTTGGCCGTTTGGAGGTGTTGGACCAAAAAGACATGAGGCAAACTTAGAGACTAGAAATGAGGAAACACTGCAGTAATGGTTTCAGATTGCAGTGAAGTGAATGCAAACAAACAAACAAAAAAGTATGGATTTGATCCTTTGATTTGCTTTCATAAATATTTCCAGGGGAAATGTGCGCGCTTTCTAAGCCCACAGATTTCTGTGCATGATTTCCCTGAATCACCTCAGAGATTTGATTGATTTGCATGAAAATGTGACAAAGTAGCAGCGCTTCCCTGCGCAGGGATTGCAAATATGGGTCAAAACGCATAACAATAAATGGAATTATATTCATCAGAACAAATCCAGCCAGCGTTATGTTTCATTATGTTTCAGAAATGTCCAGAGATGTGGTTGATCTCTGCCTACAATCATTTGTCATCTTTCGTTCATGTAATGGAATGAAATGGAGGAGCTGCAGAGCCATTAGACATTTTACACTTTATGGATGAATGAGAGCTGTTGTTGTTAAAGGAGCAGCATTACGTTAAATAAACTTTTTTTACATCATATTATAATGTTATTCTCTCATCAAAAACATACCTGGAGTGTTGATTTGATTCTTTCATGCCACCCGACCGGACCTAGCCCCGCCTTCGAGAGGCAGCTCCTCCCCCGAACTGCAGCTCAGACGTTTTTCTGTTACAGAGCGACTCTCCCCTGCGACTTGCAGCAGCCGCAATTGTGCAGTGTCTCTTTAAGACACTCTGGTATCGTTAATGATGTCACAAGTATGCGCCACTGCTTCTCTGTAGAGTGTGGGAGAAACATGCTACAGATCGACACCTAGACCGACACGGACATGTTAGCCTTATTCACGTCTGTGATATCAGCTCCCTAACTCTGGTAACGTTACGTGTTGTTTGGACTCTGCTCATTGTCATGTTTGACAACATATCAGAAGCTCAACCGGGCTTTGTAAGGTTGGTGAATGGTGTGTTTATTAAAAGACAAACACTGTGGAGTTCCCAGTACCAGTGTGGTTGTGACTTTTTGACCATCCTGATGAGTCTGCCGCCTCCTCTCCTCCCGAGCGTTACAGACTTTCCCTCTCAGCTCCTTCAGACTAGCCTGCAGCAATTAGCAAACACCTGGTGGAACTATTATCTGCTGAGCTCATTATAGGAGCTACTTCTCAGGGCAATGGTGGTGAAAACATTGTTAAAGGGTCAATAGAAGAGCGATGGTGTGGTGGCGTCTTGGAGGTGGAGTTTCAGAAAGAGCAGGAGTTTCTTGAACTAATCTCAAGGTGTTAAATCTGGAAGTCATATTTGCCATTTAGAACATTTTTATAGCAACTAAAGCTAACAGTTACTTGACTGAGCTGTGAAATGGCACAGAGTGCCTGGAAAACACAGTGAATCAAATGCCATGTTGGGGAGACATGGAATAAAGTGGCCAGCTCAGCGGAGAACAAACGAACCCTGTGGAAAATGTAATGTATAAAACAAAACTGATTTCGATATGTTTTAAAAAAAAAAGATTAATATCGGCTGACACCAATGTCAGTGCCGACATATTGTGCACGCCTAGTTATCGAAGAAATCCTGAAATAGGCTTGAAACTTGGAAGACGTTTTAACTCCTGCAAGACAAATAAACATCCATATCATTAAGTTTATTTATTGAAATTATCTGATAAACGCCGATCACCATAATGTGACCCCACACGCGCTTATCTGATTAAATTAACAAAGCGAACGAGTGGAAATTTTGGACATAAAAGCCTGACTGCATCACTGTGTTCATTGATTTTTCTCTTCCCTTCATTGCATCTTTCTCTGTGTCCAGTGTTACTTCATCGCCATCTTTGAATCTCTCCTCCTCCTTCCTTCCACCTCATTCTGCAACATTTGCAGGACGTGGACAGCGAGGAAGTAAAATAAAGCGTGATGAGACACAGGAGGGAAATAACAGAGCCCCTCTTGTGTTTTTTCCAGTGACAGATGAGCATTAACAATATTTCAGATGACGGATGGGGCTTGACAGCGAGAAAATGAAATGTTTGGAGCTCTGCCTCAACACTTCTACCCGACTTCTGCCAGTAAAACACAACCACTGTGGTTATAATGAGCATCTGTGTCACTGTTAAAAGTCAGCCAGCTGTCAGAGGACAAGCTACTGCTAACCTTTCCAATATATTTATGCTGCTGATTTAAAACTTCTCTTCTTAGTTTTGACATATACCAGAGTATTTATTGTCCTGCTGCTCTGCACAGAGTGCAGCAAATATGGAGTTTTGATATTCTTAAGCCATATTTTTCAAATAGAGACCCAGCCGGTTGAGACAAATGGTTGGTGGTTTTTTTCCCCCCCTCCCGTTTAAAAGAAACTGTCACCAGATGCTCGTTTAGACGTTTGTTGTGAATTGGAGCCACATGAATCTACTGAATTGAACAGCATTCATCAAGAACAACTGTCACAATAAATGGGGCGAATTGAATGAGCTCGCGTTTACTTCTGTTTTCTTTTTTCTCGGTTAAACCCCCCCCCAAAAAAAACGTCCTTTAGCTCCTCCACCAAGCGCCGATTTCATTTCAGATGAACCACAGTTTGACAGACGAAGGAAAGTAGAGTCGTCGGTTTTCATTAAAACATCTTGTTTGAATATGCGTCACTTTAGCTGGCCTGCATCTTGTCCTAATCTTGACCACATTAACGTCCCTTGCAGCTGCAGCAGGACTGACCGCCGCCTGGGCCTGGAAGCAGAAGATTTCCATGAAGCAAACGTTCGTGGTCTTCCAGGGTGAATCGTTTCACCTCAGACGTCAGAAACCGCGAGCTGTGTGCATTTTCTGGCTGTGAGTCAAAAGACTTATTAACTTGCATCCTCACTGCTGTAACCAGACTTGACGTTTTAATAAAATACCTCTCCACATGTCCAGATGGGATCCGAGCGGCTTCCTTATGAAGATGTAATAGGTGTGTGTTTTTTGTTTTGAGACGGTTTTCTGCAGGAAATTTCACCTCGTGTCAAAAGTAAAGACACAGAAACGCAAAGCGATGCACACAGTTACCACATGATCCACAACAGACACAAACAGTCTCTTGACAAGGCTTGGTAAGTTCTGCATTATGGATATCCAAGAGGCTATGGATATTGTACAAGTGTGCCAGTAGAAGTTACTGGAAATATAACATTATTTGGGTTGTTTTGAGCTCTTCCTGGCATAAAGATGAGAATGTCTCACTGCAATGCAACTTTTAAATAAACCCAACTCCGACGTCCGGTGACGTTTATGACTCTGAAAGGCAAATCGAATCATTTTTGAAACTAAAATATATGGGACCATAGAGCATGAGGGGTTTCTGCTGCAGAAAGGAAGCGAAGCGCTCTCTTCACAAAAAAATTTAAAAATGCAGAAAATGGAAACGCATTGTTCCACATATCGACAGCACAGCGTTCTTACAGGTGTCCTGGTTCTGGTTCTGCTCTGCATCCCCAGAGCCACAGCGAAGCAGCATTCAGCTTCTATGCTCCACTAATCTAGAACAAACTTCCAGAAAACTGCAAAACAGCTGAAACACTCAACCAAACCCAGTTGACTTTTTGGCTCATAATAACTGGAGCATTGATCGATACATTTGACGTGTATTCACTTGGTGGCATTGAACAAAATGTACCGCTTACTGCTTGTTTTATAACGACTTGCTGTACTGTGTTGTTATGACATAAATCACTTTGAATGCTTGGTCGCTGAAATGCGCCTACAAACCCACTTGACCCGCCTCAGTTACTCCAGTCTGAACTCCCAGACCGCACGACCGGGCCTTTCCTAAACCTTGGCAAAAAATAAATAAAACGGAGCGCAGACTCATTTAACCGAGCTCTGTCTGCTGCATCTTCGTTGGCTTTGACCCCGCGTTAGACAGGGGTCAAGTTCTGATATGTCCACACCTTAAAGCCTAAATTCACTGCACTCAACAGTGACTGCATATTTGAACAACCCTCATTCTGGAGCTCCCTTGCATTCCCCCAAACAATCTGTGGACAACTTGTCCAACAGAGTCCCGGCGCGCGCTTAAAGGAAGTGAACACACTCTGCTGGAGCCGAGTCAACCACATCCAGCAGTTCATTGTGGAAGCCACGTCTACAGCGCCAGAGCATCAATTTGGCATGCAGCGGATCAACCCCGACAGAAAGAGTTACACAACTCCCTCACGCACGCGCGCGCGCGTACACACACACAAAGCCGGCTGGCGCGTCCGGGCGCGTGAGCGAGAGCGCGCGAGCTCCGTCGCTGTAACTTTCGAACAAAGAAAAACTTCTGCTGAGTTGGCGACTCTGTGAGGAACGTCAACAATCCCGCGCGCCTCTGCGGGCGCGCAAACGCGCCGCCGGGTGTTTCTTCTTCGTCTTTCCTCCTTCCCGGCTAAAAGCTTCTTCCTTGACGGTTTTTTTCCTCCCTTTCTTCCCTCCGTCTCTGTCTCTCTGCCGAGAGCTTTCTGCAGAGGCTCGCGCGCTCGTCGCGGGTCGCCAGCTGTCACGTCGCGCGCGCGCGGGGACGAGAGCGTGCGGGTCTCTTACCTGGTGGATTTTCTCCAGTCGAGGAGGAGGAGGAGGGGGGAAGAGGTAGTGCTGCTGCTGCTGCTGCTGCTGTCAGATTGAGAGGTGGAACGACTTAGAGGAAATCTCTCTTAAAACACACACACACTCCCTACTGCTCAAGTCTGTACACTCACACACTCACACACACACAAAACAGTCCTCCCTCCATCACGAAACTCTAGAAGTCAGAAGTTTATCTTCCTGCACACCAGTCACCCCCCCACTGCAGAGGTTTAGGCTGTTGTTCCTTCTTCCAGATGTTCTGTGGAGAGCAGAGAGTGGCACCGACAACCTAAAGAAAGGTGTGTTTAAGTCATTACTCCTCCCTCTCTGCCTTCTGCCTGCACTTCTGCCCGGTGTGTCTTATGCGTTGAATTTGGATGATCGCGCTGCGCTTTCCTTTCCAAATGCGCTAAAATGCTGAGCTGGATTGCAGATTTTGACTCGTGGAAGCAGGGGTGTCCAAAGAGTGTCCTGGGAACACTTTGAGGCATCTGAAATGATAGTGTGGCCCCAATTTAAAAATGACACAAAACTGGCCAACCAGCACAGAAAGTTGGTAGACCGATCATTTTTAAGCTCTTCTTAAAATATTGCGCTTTGGGTCAAACAGCAAGTTTGTCTAGTCTCAGCTGAATGCGATGCCAAGTGGGACCACAAGCATCCCTATGCTGGCACAGGCATGTGACCCGATCTTTTTTTTCTTTTCTTTTTCTGTAAAGTGAAAACATCAAAAACAGTCAACCGAAAACTTCTGGAAATTGTACTGCTGAACATGGAAAACATGAGTTTCTTTTCATTTTTGATCTGCGGTGATTCACAGACTAGATGTTTGTTGGTCAGGTAAAAAGATTTGCAATCAATGTGCGCTTTTAATGAACAGTGCTGATTAAAACAACAGTGTCAGGCTCTTTTGTCATTTTCCTGCTGGTGTGAGGAACCGTTGGTGGTTTCCCAATATGGGCGACTTGGACACCGTCCAGGGCTGCATCTCAGCAGGGGGCGGCACAGCTGAGCGGCTGGCAGGTGAGAGTCAATGATTTCTCAAATACACATCAAAAAATCAAGGCAACACTCCAGAATAACAATTATAACACGATGTGAAGCTCAAAAAGTCAGTTTTCCGCATCGCTGAAATACAGACGTTTGTCATACTTTTATATTTTCTGTTTCTTTCTTTGAGAATTTCTTTCATCTAAAATTGTTACATTTATCCGTTGCTTTGTTTTTCATCCTGGATTGCATCGCCACCCTGCGAGTTTTCATGTAAGACAAACGAGCCGAAGCGAAATGGAGTGAAGTCCCATTTTCGTGCCATCAGCCTGCAGCCAGTTGACTCAGATCTGGTCGACTGAAACGTTGAGCTTTTAGACGGCAAGAAAAAACAACAACAAAAACCAGATAATTACACGCCGATTGCCCCACGCGTTGCCTCGTAAAGTTTATTTGTTGCCAGAAGCTCTTTAACTGCGTTGCTGAATTCCAGCTCCGTGCTTCACTCTGACTCACGAATGCTTTGTCCACCAGGCTTTCCCATGATTCACTGGGGTTGCTTCCCTTCGGCGTCTTCTGTCGTCTTCAGTCTGATGAAATACTCTGCAAAAACGCAAATTTTGACGTAGATTTGGTTTCTTTTGTCTACTTTCTGGTGTGAAATGTCTTGGTTCACTTGGAATAATATACAACTAAATTATGGGTGGCTTTTCATAAAGATGCAGGAGTTTATTTTAAGTAAAATAAATAAATCCTTCACTTACAAGACAGTTTTTTCTTAAGTGAGATAATCTGCTAGTGAAACTGGTGCTGAAAAAATTTATTTGCAGAGCAGAGCAAAACTACTCTAAGGGTTTTTCTTTGGTTGTTTTTTGCAGTGCGTCACTTAAACTCACCTGCTTTAAGTGACGCACTTTCGTTTCTACCCTTTCGTTTTGACCCTTTCTGGGTTTTTTCCTGTAAATCCCACTAATTTCCTTTCGTTATTTAAACCCTGATTGCCATGTAAGTGGAATTGAACCCATCTTGTGTCTTCATTCTCCCGTGAATCATAACCGGCAGCTTTGAGATCTTTTTCGTCTGTTCTAAATTCCTCTTTTTCTCAACACTTAGGGCCCTTTTTCTTTCTCTAAACGTTTTCGCAGGTATCCTTTTTCCCCTCCCTCTTTCATATGCAGTGTTGTCAATTCCGTAAATATATATATTTTCAACACACGTTAAAATGAATAACCTTAAGGGAATCATTTATATGATGCAGCCTCGCCCAAGCATCCCTTGTTAAATCCTAATTACCAGTAAACACACTTTTGACTCAGTTTAGCGAGTCACACCCGGGTCTGATTACTGCTTGACCCGCAAGTAAATTGTTTAAATAGAGCCGCGTTTTATTTTCCGTTTTATTGATGGAAAACTGATGGGCAGATTTGATCATTTTAAAACCTTCATGCCAGTGAAAACTCAGCATGACTGAAAAACGCTTTAAAAGTCACGTTGTGTTGAACTTCGTTGTTCGTCTCTCCCCAATAACCACAGACTCTTTCAGTGAGTTATGGGGTAAAATAGCTGCTTATTCTCCACATATTCCAATAAAAGTTTGAATATGTTCATATCTCTCAGCCTTACGTTGATTCACTGCAGTAAATTTCGTCCCGTTGTTTCTGAAAGCAGGATTGATGGGTTTGCTTTCCATTTTGTCCAACAACTAACAATGGTGGTATCAATGCAACTCATTTTATGCCGTTTTAAGATCCTAATTACCTGCATAGAGAGAATGCTGCTATAGACTTATGAATTATAAATGCATGGAAATGTTCCTTTTGTTGTTTTTTTAGGTCAATTAAAGACAAAGATCTGGAAAAAGAAACTTTCACATTGCTGTTCTTTAAACTTGTCTGTTTTAAATCGGGGTCAACAGATGATAGAAATATGAATCTCATAACTATCAGCACTGATGGACTCTGGATCGGTTCGGACGTATGACTCAACACACCATTACACCACAGCTGCAGACCTCAGGTCAAGTTTCACTTCCTCAGGCAGCGGATGTAGGTCAAATTAATCAATGCTGTGTTTTGAAGTCAGAAATTATCCCTGTATGCGAAATGTTATATCTGACTCTCAGCATTTCTGGAAGGATCTTTCTTTAACTTGATGTAAGAAGAACCAAAACAAAGCACGTTGGAGCAAGACTTCTGAGGTTCTGGTCCGTCGCCGGGTTTTACAATTGATCAAAAACGCGTCGCCACAGCAGAAGCAATGCGCTTGACGTTAGATAGAACGAGTTTGTATTATTTACTGACTTATACCAGCAGGAATTATAGTTATCAACAGGCCAAACTGAAAGAAATTAAAAAGATCAAATATAAATAACATGGTGTCTTAAACAACAATCGGTGTCTTAAAAAGGGGTGCAGTAACATAAGCTTGCCACATGAGGGAGTTACAGCATCACAAAAGGACAAAAAAGTTCAAAATTAGCTAACGTGACATATAAAACAAACAAAGCAAATTGATAAGTGAACATTAATGTGAAAAAAATACATAACTATGCAGTCAACTATAACAAATACAACTGGCGCATAAAAGTAGTCCAGATTCAGCTGTTCTTAAAAAATTTAAGAAGATAAATGTAACCACTGATTTATTGATGCAATAAGGATGTTTTGAGGCAGTTGTAGATTTGATATGGGAATGTTTTTGATAAAAAATAATAATAATAAAGCAATTGAAGTGGCAGAAAAAGTTACATTATTTGACTTTTGATGTGTCAGCGGTTTCAATCCTGAGGTAGTTTGTCGAGCAATTTTAAAACCCAACAGAGTCGTTGCAAAAAGAGTTTTCAACGGATAATTCAGTAAGATCTAGCAGATTGAAATGCTTTTCTTTTTATTTAAACAAACTCAAATAGCTTAACCAGAGACTGAACTGTTTATACTTTTTGTCATGTCAATGTAAAAGGTTGCAGGATTACGACAAAAAAAAAGAAAAGTGTTTTTTGTGCATAAAATTGTAATCTAAAAAATGGGAAGTATGAAGAGAAACCTTTTAGCATGCCTAAAAAACACACACAAAATGTAAAAAAAACGGTCTTCAAATTTCTGCTTATTGTTTTTCATTGTTTGTTTTAACAAATTCTTTTGTCCTCTGCGCTCAGATGTTTTCTTTGTGACCTCTGTGCTCTTGAAACACCCTCCTCCCACGTCCTTCTGAGCCTAACCGCGACTCCCAAGATAAATCTGAAGCGCTGTTTGCAGAAACACCCACACAGGCTTCAGCTGTGGAAACCATCATCCGGGGAGAGGATCCCAAGGGAGCGACGGAGAAAAGGATACACGAAGAGAAAGAGAAAAGAAATAATAGTTGAACGTTTTAAAAAGACAAAATTGATTTGCAGTGCCCAGCAAGAGCGTTTGAACGTATTTCAGTTGGAATTGAATCGATAGCAAGGAATAAATTACAATTAAAAAAACAAAAATATGAAACCTGTGGTGTACTTTTAGGTTCATGGCCCCTACATCAATACTTTGCAATAACAGTTGTAATTCTTGTGACTGTATATAAATTCCTGCACGTCGTTTCTTTGCAAAATGAGCGAGGTGTGAGAAATAAACATCAATTGAAAAATCTTTCCACGGATTTAGAGTTTTTCTTGGACAACGTAAATTATTTATTTATTTATTTATTTATTTTTGCACATCAATATTATTAGTTCCTGTGCCTGCGACATCATTCTGCCATTACCGTGTTTCATCATAAGGACAGTTTGTTTAGGGTAACAAACATTGAATTGCATTTGTATTTAGAAAAAGTTCAATTTTGGTCTCATCTGAACTTTTACACTGTAAATATGTTAGCTGGATTGCTTATTCGCTGTCAAAAGGACTTTTTAAGGCTAACAGTAGCTTTCATCTCATTTCATTGTCCCCCATGAGTTTTGGATCTGTGTGGCACTAAAGAACACAGCGGCCCACTAACGAAAGCTTGTAAAAGTGCACTTAACTCTCGTTCAACAACATCAATCCATGAGGTTCACGGGGTGACAGAGCACCAACAGTCGGGAGCATCTGGTACTACTAGTTAGTGTTTTTTTATCTTTTATTTTTACATGAAGCATTTGGGGTTTGTTTTAAAGTCACAGCTACACCTAGCTCCTTTGAAGCTAAAGCTAATTTAGCACCGTTACAGGAAGCATGACCGGTTCGAGGGTCAGGGGGTCAACACTTTCACAAAGTTATTGTGAAACAAGCATAGAATAGAAATAACTGCAAAGATAAAACAATATTCTCAGTTAAACTATAGAGAAACTCAAAGTCCACTAATCTCCAAAAGTTGCTGAGTGACCTCAAAAACATCTGGAGCTCATAGTCAGAAAAAGAAAAAAAAAAAAAGAAGAAGAAAATCAGTGACCACAGCTTGTTTTTGTTTTTCAAAGCTTTGGCTCTCAATGTTCTTCACTCCTCTGTTTTCTCTCATTTCAGCACCGATAAACTGCTCCAATGGAACAAAAGAAAACAAACACAGTTTGGGTACATCCTCTGAAGAAAGACTTGGTATCTCCTGTTCAAATGCGTATCTTTAAAGGCCAGTATGACGTGTTTTCCAGCCAAATAGAATCAATTTATGACACGATCTAGTAACTATGTTACATTATGTTGTTATAAAAATACTGTATGTCAAGAAATTTGACTTGGTAAATGAATGCTTTGAAACTGGGCTTCTGTCTCTTTAAGAAGCTTCTGCTCTTTCTGAAACTCCGCCTCCAGGAAGGCATCACAGCGTGGCTGCTCTATTAACCCTTTAACAAAGTTTCCACCGGCGTTGCATGACAAGTGGCTCGCATTATGAGCTCAGAAGATGTGCAGTTTCACCAGGTGTTTGCTAATCTGAAGGAGCGGGATGGGCAAAACACGGGAGGGCTGCTCTGTGAGGCAGGAGCTTGGCTCCCGAAGGCGGGGCTAGGTCCACCCAGTCGTTTTGCACAGCTGAATAGCTGTTATGGGGATTGCAAGATTTCTCAAGCATGCATGAAACAGTCGAGGCGACACTCCATGTAAGAGGGGATAACATTATAACATGATGTAAAGCTCAAAACACTTTATTTTACATAACACTGCCCCTTTAATATTTTCAGTCATATCAGGATTTATCCTCTTCTTGGGTAAAACTCAAGCTCATCTCTTCCCTCAACACCATTTATCTGATAGTATAATTTTCCAAAGCTGGCAGCTTTTGCCTCTTTGTGCTACAGGTTGATTTGTTTTGTTTAATGATGAAGGTAGAGAATAGTTTCAATGATCTGTGAAAGATAACAGATCTGAGCGGAGCGGAGTTTTCCTTTCCGCTTCCTGCTAACATCAATCCATCCAGAAGTGAAACCTGCATGCCAGTGCTAAAATCCAAAGCACTGTTTTCTCTAAATATACACAATGTATGGAACGGCATGACACATGATACGAGCTCCTTCCCTTTAATTCCAAGTGTAACTCGTGGAAATATGCTGAAATTGGCTCATAAATATTGTAGTTAGTGCGTGAAAGGAGAGCTTGAGTCTGGTAATGACGAGCGTCATTATGCCTCATTAGCTTAAATTAAGCCAAATCCATCTTTCATAATTGCCTCTTAAAAAAAAAAAAAAGAAAAAAGAAGAAAATGCAACAGAGCAACAAGCAGAGTCCATGCCAAATATTTAACAAACACCCCGCACTAGGTTTACCGATCATTGGTATGCAATGCTAATTCATTCTCCACATTATTCACTCATTTATATGGATCTGTAGTCCCACATATCTGGTGATTTGACCCAGCAGAGGATGAATCTGAAGGAGCTTCTGGCCACCGTTTGGCAGAACGATCTGTTTACTTCTCCTCCCCAGCTGCCACTCTTTTTAGCATAGCTTTCTATCAGTGGCATGGAAATGATTAACCTCCCCAAGGCCGAGTCTGGCACAGTTGATTATGCAGCACAACAAACAGCAAACCCAAACACGCACTCTGTTTTTTTTTTTGTTTGTTTGTTTTTTTTTGAGAAGTCTTACATCTTTGGAGGTCAGTGTGAACTTTTTGTCAGAATATCTGGTGATTTGTGGGAAATCGGGAGTGTTTCACTTTATGCTCTACACTTGGTTTAGATTTTTTTTAAAACTGATAAAAGTCTAAATTGCCTTTGCAGACAAACAGTCTGAGACCATGTGGTATTATCAATGTTTTGATTATGCGAGCGAGTGATATGATTATAAGAATTATTTATCACTCTTTTTTTTTTTGGTCTGCTCTTGAAAAGCATACCCATTTGTAATTACACATATTTAGTCATATTTTAAAATTCCTTAGTATTTATTGATACTCCTTTATTGAACTAATTAAAGGTGGTGAAAAATAGTAAATATAAAAATCCTGACAGTACAAACAATTTCTTGTTTTTAAAAAAAACATTATTATAAACCCTGTGACAATGATAAACCAAAATTAGAAATTTATCCTTTTCCCAATGTCGCTAGCCTAGCATATCTGTTTAGGCTGTAATTACCCAGCATGCTCTGCTTCCTAAGTTTTTCAGTGAACTGGAGTGGGCCTCTCCCCAAACGAACCGGACTTGAATAGAGTTTGATGAAAGCCGACTGAACGGGGCTAGTGTGAGAACGCACCCATATTTGCTCAGTTGCGGTTTTACAAAAACATCCCGGCCATTTGAGACACACCAAACAAGAAACTGTGGGTAATTCAAACACTTCTGGAAGCTGTTGCTTTGATTGATAGTGTCTGTTTTGTGGCTGTAGTTGTGCTTCACAGAGCAGAACTTCTGCAGTGGTTTACGGCCCAGTAAAAGCTCAAAATGGGAACTAATGGATGAGGATAGGGACTCGTTACCACACAAAGGGAAGCGTAAGACAAATGCAGAAATGCCTGAAATTAAACACGTCTGCTTGAAACAAAGCCTTGCCAGGATGAATGAACAGCTGGAGTCCTAATGTAGGCATTACGCCTCACATTAGCACTGTATTCTGATTAATAAAATGTCATGGCGTAATGCATGTCCTTGGCTGCAGATTCATTGATTTTCAGCCGAGAGCGCCGTCACTCTCTGGCGTGTGAACGGCTGAAGTGATGCAGTTTTCATCATGCCGGCGTCACGGCTCCAGGAACAATGTTAGTATTCACAGCCAGAGCTGTTGGCTTGCATAACACTTCAGGTGAATTTCCCTTCCCCGGTGACAAATTACAAAATTTCACATTTGAGTCCGAAAGTGCTTGTTGGAGACGGTTCTCAAGCTGCGGTGAAAGGACTAAATTGCGGTGCTTTGGCCGTCTTTCGGAGGCACTCACAAGAATCTTTGCCATAAATGACACGCGAGGTAGAGAGAAACACATTAGGTGTGATGTAGATAGATGAAGCATGAGCAGCCAAAAAAGCTTTTAAAGCAAATTGATGTTTGTTCCTTCATAAACCGGTCGAGACAGATGTGCATTGAGGGAACTCCCGGATTCAGGTGTGTGAAGTTGACAACTTTACACCAGTGACAACTGCTGTGGTTGCTTCTGAAACTGGACACAGAGCAAGCATGGCTTTGTATTTCATGACGTGAAACAAAGTGGAAAATGTCTACGTCTAGTTGTTCTACTAAGTTCACATGATGGGACACTGAAAATTATTTAATGAGGGGAAAAAAAAAAAGCAGGTTCATTGATTTCAAGCTGTAACCGAGGTACATATTTTCACGTTCATTTCAATTTGAGGTAATCCTAGAGGTGAAAAAAAGTGTTTCGAATGCAATTTTTGTGTTTTTATATATATTTAATGAATGAATGATTTAAAAAGTGTAGAATTTGAGCTAGAGTGAGCTAAATGTTGTCTACACTTTAAAAATAGAGTAGGTCTTTTATTTTGTGCTTGTTCAAGCCATGTACTAACTTCAGGGAAGTGAAAAATATGAAGTGCAAAGATCCATTTGACAAATATTAATTATTGAAAGTGAATTTATTTCAGGAATTTTCTCATACATATTAATCACACACAGATGGACACTAGAAAGCCTTTAGTTCTGCTAATTTTGATGATTTCTGCTCTCATCAAATGAAACACGACATTTTAATTTAGAATGTTCCATCAGACACATAAAAACACATGTTTAATACAGAAATATGGGCTTTAAAAAAAACAAAAAGATATATTTAATGCTGACTTTAGGGCGCTATTGTTGAAGGTAATTTCAATCCAACAAACATGCAGTCATATTCAAATGTATTGAATGTGACTTTACAGTAATATTATTCTTTCAGTGCTTTTATTGTGTTCACCACATGGGGACAGTCACTCCTGATTGGCTGGATATATTCATAAATGACAAAAAACAATCAGGCGAGAATACATCGATTTTTGTTGTTGTTTTTTACATCGTGATCCCCCATCGGCAATGTCGGCCTGGACAAGAACAATACGTAATAAAAATAAACACATTTTTAAGGATTTTTTCTGAAAGCATAAAATTCTCAAATTGCTTATTACAAATAAATATAATTTTAAGGGGGAAAAACATTCACATACACATTCTTGTCAGAATACAGGATTCAAAAGTAATAGGGGGACAATTCTCCAAATTAGTTTTAAAGGTACCAAATAAATAATGACAAGTTTTACGACTTGACGACTTTGAAACAAAAGTCTGCACCATTTCACCAGAGGCTTCTCTGATTGGTTGAATCTCGTGGGACTGATCCCCCGTGATCTACGGCCTGCTGATGACCTGCTTGATCCAGTCGGTCAGTCTGGTGATGCGGGTGTAGACGCCATAGTAGTCTGGACGGCCGCAGCCTTTGCCCCAGCTCACCACTCCGGCCAAGAACCAGCGCCCCGACGGCTCCTGGCAGACCAGGGGCCCGCCAGAGTCCCCCTGGCACAGACAGTCACATAGTTAAAGAAGGAAGGAGAAACATCATACAAATATCTATCTGCTGTCTAAAAGAGGCAAATTAGTTATTATTCTTATACTTTTTTTATTATTAATTGTACTGCAGCAGAATTTCAGCATGGAATAACATTACGTCTCTTTAGTATTAGTGGAGTATAAACTCACATCAGCTTGTATCTTGTGACAGGTTACCGTAACTGAAACAATGTATTTCATATACAAAACAAAATTATTTCTCCTCCTTGAACCTTGTCACATTTTGCCAAGTTACAAACAAACGCTTTAATAATTTGTATCATCATTAATTACACAAATAACTATTTAATAATAAATTGAGAAAATGACCATTTTCAAAACAGTTTGCAAATAAAAGTCAGAAAGGTGAATTCAGGCAAGACTTCTGAGCACCATCTTTATGTTTTTGAAGTATGACTGAAACTAGATATTAACATAAACTGAATAAGAACACACATCTATTTTTCCTTCTTAGTGTCTGAAGTGAAATCAGACCAGATTTCTTTTGTTTTAGCTTAGTTAGAATTACTAAAATTGCTCCTATTTGGCAAATGCCAGAAAACTTGGCAGGAATAATTTTTTAACTTTTTTTCCCCCCCTCGAATTCAAAAGTTTGGAGACGTTGTGGGAATGGCTGATTGGCGGCCTACAAATAGCTCCTCCAGTTCTTCCAGGCAGAATGAGCCAGAACTCCAGCAAACCAAGAGCTGAATGTGCAATCTGTATGAACGTCTCAATCAATGCAGATTGGTTAGCAAACACTCAGTGTTATGTTCATATGTCCATACCTGACAGGCGTCTTTCCCTCCACTGCGATAACCAGCACAAAGCATTCTGGGAGTGACTAGGTAGCCGTATGAGCGAACGCAGGCTTCCTCGCTCACCAGGCGAACGTCCACCTTCTGCAGCACGTTGTTGGTTCTGCCTGCAGGGGGTCAGAGGTCAGACATCAGGATAACTGTGTTATTGGTTCAGGTTTTTCACAAGAAGCGTGAGAGACATTGGGTTGAAGTCATAGCTCCCACCTGCAGAGGGCAGTATTTCTTATTTCTACTTCCTGTCTTCCACAGCCTTACTGAAAGTCAAGTTAAACTCTGTGATCGATGTGACGAGTAACAAAAACTCATATTTGCATTACAGAAAAAAATAAAATTTCTTGCAAATATTTCCAAAAATATTCCACAAGTTTTTATTTTCACTTTTTTGCAGTCAAAATCACTAATTTTGTGACACTAATTTAGAAAGATGTTCAGCATTATTAAATCTTAAGTTCTTATTAAAATGCAGACACATATTTATTTGATTTAACATTTTAGCTGGTTTTTATTAATACATTCTGCCACGAACATTCGCGGTCTGGATATCCATCAAAATAAAAATAAATTTGACACCCTGTCTGTTCAGCATCTCAATAAAATCAAGGATCTGGGAATTATGTCAGAGTTGGTCTCATTTCTTAGTTCAATTCAGCAGTACGTTTCACGTCATTGTCGTGTCACCCCATCCAATTTTACTTCAGCTTTAATCTTGCTCCAGATGATCTCACATTTTCCTCCAGCATTGAATTCAGTGATCTGATCTTTCCAGACACTGTAGTATTTAGGTTTTGCTTCTATTCGCGGGTCACTCTGCTTTCTGCCCGACATCTCCGACCCGTCGGCCGGCTCACCTCCTTCCTCTCGTGCCCCCCAGCCGGTGACCCAGCAGAGCAGGCCCGGCTCCAGCTGGTGGGTGGGCGGCGGCAAGCAGGCGGGCAGAGCGTGTCCGGTCAGCAGTGGGTACGCGGTCCGGTCCAGCTTCAGCAGGGCGAGGTCGTAGTCGTGGGACTCGCTGTCATAGTATTGATGGAGGTGGATCTGCTGAACCCGAGCCACCTCCTCTATGGAGCTGCTGCGGTTCAGCAGCAGTTTGCCCAGATACACCGTCCACACCGAGGGGGAGTACACACTGCAGCGGGAATGTCAGAGAGAGGTCAAAGGCCATAAACTGTCACAGAAGTTATTACGATAATATTACTGTTTTGAGATCATTTTCAAACAACACAATGCAAAGTGATGCAAGAGCACATTCTCAAAGATAATTAAATGTAACTTCTACTGAACATTTAACACTGGAACCAGAAGATGTTTAACATATTATTAAACAACAGAAACGGTGAATAAAATAAAATATGACGTCTCTGTAAATAATATTGTCCCTCAAAAAGGGGCTAGTTGAGACCAGAGCATCATCCAGTTTTTGGTAGAAAGAAAGAAACTGGATATTGAACACATATGGAAAATATCTGTTTCTGTCATTTACAGAGTCATTTCTGTAAATGACACTATGTCAGCTTTTTCACAGATTATAGTATAATCTGTGAAAAAGTTAATGATGATTTTAACAAGCAAGTAGAAAAGATTGTCTTATATAAATAAAACTTGCATCCTGCAGCTTTAACACATTTTTAATTTTATAAATTTATTTATTTATTAATTAACTTTTTAGGATTTGCCTTCATGCCTTGATTGGAGAACATGACTATATTCCTTTCTGTGATCTGAACTTGGCAGGGTCCAGTGGATTGTAGTGAGATTTTCAGTAGGGTGCCGTGTACCCCATCGAACCTCCCTAAGGGGGGCCACTGTGTTCAACCCTGATTTTTGATCTATGTCAATCAAACGAACGTAAACAGCACAACTCAAAATCCTTTAAATCCTTCCCAAGAAATTTCAAAAGTGTTAATCCCCCTGCAAAACGTTGCTCTAATTCTTTTGAGCTGCATCCCGGTTAAGCTGTTTTTGAGAGACAGGTGCAGATAAGACCAGAAATGCACTCACTCACATCACTCCCTCACTCACTCCGAGACGGATCCAACTTCTACATCCTTATCCATCACTCGAGCCAAACACAGAGCAAGTTTGAAAGAACACAAAGATTTAGGAAACAATGACATGAAAGAGTGTCCTTCAAAGCGTAGCCAGAGAATGAAAACACGACATGTGCAACAACAAAGCCCTTCAGGTTGTCTGTTTGCTGTTGGCATCACCTGTCGTCGTAGAAGCAGTGGGCGGCCGACGCCACCCACTGGTAGGATATCAATGCCCCTCCGCAAATGTGGGTCCCTCGCACCTGCAGACTGGCCTGCCAGGGCCACTCCCCCTCCGAGGCGTCGCTGCCCCCGACGATGCGGGTGGAGAACTGTCTCAGGCCACATTCTGAACACAGCAGACAGCAAAAAAAAAACACCTTGAAAAAGTATCGCCGTCCTCTAAACAGCTCTCATGTTGCTTCGTCGCAGCTCCAAACTTCTTTCGAGAGCTTAGTATAACAAAAAGTAGAAGATAACTGTAAAATCTAAGGAAATGATACTTTCGTCTTTTACTATTAACCTTTATTTAGCTATGTGTAAAAACTAATAAGAAACATATTGAAAGCAATGGCAGTTAAAACTCTCTTCTTCATGGTCTGTCAGTGATCATTTTAGTTCACTGTGTCACTTTCTGAGTCCAACAGATTTACTTTCACAAGTGGAGCATTACTGCTTTAACTATGATGCACACTTCATGTAAAGCTGCCCAAAAGTGGGCAGAAAGGTTTAAAGTGAAAGAAGGACAGAAAGAATAGAAAATAACAGGTTAGATATCTGCTTCTACACCTGCAGAAAGAGAGAGGAAACAAAAAACAAAATGAAAACCTTGAAACAAAACACCTGTACATTCTTAATGTGTTCCTCACAGTGCTTTTTGTTTTACAGTTACATTGTAAAAAATTTACAATTTATTAATTGGGAATTGTTTTACTTTTACCAAAAAAAAAAACAGCTTGGATTGTTTACAACCCTTAAATTTCACTAATTTGTCCCTGGATTTTGGCTGTGTTCCTTTCGATAAATATCTGAGGCCTTTACAGAGCAGCTGTGTTTACACTCGAATCAATGACACTTATAAGACCCAGGGCCATTGACTGGGTCTCATTTAGGGGCATCATATTAAAAGTAGCTCAATACATGTACATGCCACACTTTTCAGATTATGTTTAGTTGGAAAAAATTGCAAATGTTTTCATCCACTTCACAATTGTGTTCTTTATATGTTTCTATCTCCACATGTCTTAATAAAACAGATTGGTGTTTGGTTCAAACTTGAAAAAATGTAAACAAGTCTGAGAGACATTAATGCTTTTGCACCGTTGCACAACCATAAATCCTCAACAGAAGGATAACTCAACAGAAGCATCTCGACGATCTAATTTAAAATGTGATGGATTTATTTATTAAACTGCAAGGTAAGGCCAAGTGTTGCATTGTTCTAATATATGGGGGCTTTTAAGCTCTGACTACGTCTCCTTTGTGGCTACTGTCAAACCTTTACTGAATATTGAAGGAGCCGACCTTATTTGGAAATGTTCACTGAAACAAGCCATAAAGTTTTCATGAGCAGAAGGTGGCGACTAAAGCGGTTGGAGCCGACTCCGTCACTGTGAACTCAGTAACATTTAGGGTTCAGCCTTATATTTTCCTAGTGGAAGGTTTCAAAGATCTTCCACTGGCTCCATGTAGCTTAGAGAATAGACTTTAAAGTACTTCTATTAGTTTATAAATCACTCAACGGCTTATCGCCAGCATACATTAAAGACCTGTTGTCACGGTATCAACCCCTCCAGACCTCTCAGGTCTTCTGCGTCTGGTCAGAACCAGAATCAAACAAAGAGAGGCAGCATTCGGTTTTTATGAACCACAAATCTGAAACCAACTTTCAGTTTTCGAAAGCTTGGAAACCGCAGCTCCAAGGAGGAGCTGCGTCTCGAAGGAAAACAATGAATAACATTTAATTACAAGAGTATGATTGATTGGTCTGCATGCAGAACAAAGTGCTGCCCTGATAACATCCACAGAACAATTATGTTAAATCCCAGAGTGGTTTATGGAGCGTCGTCTGATCTCACCGCATCGATTCTCGTCCGAGGCGTCGGGACAGTCTGTGACAGAGTCGCACTCTGGGTTCGGCTTCTTCAGGCACGTGCCGTCAGCGCAGACGTAGGTCAGATCCGTACACTCTACCCCTGAACACACACACGGACCTCACACTGAACCCAACGCTGTTCAGGAAAGCTAACATGGAGAGATTTTCTTACTTAATGTTCCATGTCTAATCAACACAAACAGCTTGCTTTGAAATACTTCACTGCAAAGAGTAAAGGAAAGAGAGATTTTCTGTTGCTGTGACACCTTCTAGTGTGTGTGTGTGTGTGTGTGTGTGTGTGTGTGTGTGTGTGTGTGTGTGTGTGTGTGTGTGTGTGTGTGTGTGTGTGTGTGTGTGTGTGTGTGTGTGTGTGTGTGAGTCTCGGAGGTCAGTGTGTTACCACCAGTGCAGTTCATCTCATCGGAGGCTTCGGGGCAGTCTGGGTGTTGGTCACACACTTTATAGTAGTCGACACACTGACTGTCCTCAGGGCATGTATACTGTGCCACACACACTGAAACACACATGATAAAGTATCGCTTATAAAACATTGTAAGTGAATTTTATTTTTTTCTAAAACATTACATAGATTTTTCAAATAAATACATTTGGTGCCGTTTGCACAATTATTTGAGTTACTTAGCCTGTAATTAATTTTTTTTAACTTTTTTTCTCAAAATCATATTTAAACCATGTTATTCATTCATTTATAAATGTGGCCATTTCAAACTACAAATATTCAGTTAGCGAGGTAATTATTTCGCTTTAAACTAATTTTTTTGTTAGAGTAAATATTTAGACTGAATCCAAATATTTAATTAGCAAGAAAAAGATTTAAGCATTTAAATGTTTAGCTTCAATCTAAATATTTAGCTTGAAACTATTTAGTTAGCAAGATAAATATTTTGTTCACCATCTAAATATTTTGCTCCAAACTAGTTTGCTTCAAACTAAAAATTTGGTTGAAAGCTCACTATTTAGTTAGCAGGATAAACATTTAGGACTACAGTGCAGGGCATTCTGGGCAACTATAACTAAATCAAATGCTAGCGCTAGAGGGAACAATGCAGCAATTCCCTTTTGCCAAAGACAAAAGGGAAATGCTGCAGCTGCTAATATCCAACCATGTTGTTTTTTTGTTTAAATTTCGATGAGCAGGAAGTCGCACTTGTGTCATTTTTGTGTGTCATTTCCTTCAGAGGCAAGGTTTGGATCGTTTCACACATTGCAGTGTGAAAGTGAACCGCACCAGCTGAAAATTCATCAAATGTCGCAACTTTGATAACCAATCGAACCAAGTCTACCGGATTATCAGGTGTGAAAACACCCATAATATTTAAAGTGGAGGTAAATGTAAAGTTGGTGAACTAAACATTTAGCTTACTATTTAGAGATTTATTTTGGTGACATTAATAGATCAATGAACTAGTTATCTTATGACAGGCTAAATAATAATAATACATTCAACAATTTGGTAAGTTTCACTACAATCAGCTAAAGATTCTGAGATCTGTATTAGTTTTTAAAGACTCCTGCTGGTATCCGAGTCCTTGGACCAGCGCCCAAGAAATGGCAACAGAACGTGTCTATACTGCCAGAGTAGTTCGGTCATAGATTTGAGAGTGTATAATTGTATCCCCTTGTTGAAAAGCCTAGACGATGGTATGCAGCTATGAATTTAAAATCTAAACTTTGTACCACAGTTCCTCTCATCCAATCCGTTGGAGCAGTCCTTGATTCCGTCACACAGGGGGACGCAGAGTCCGCTCACAGTGCACAGGAACTGACCCGGACAAGCTGCAACGCACAGAAAACAACCACCAAAGCTCACATCGGACAAAGGGTCTCTTTTCAGGAATCTTTCCTGCATCCGCAACTTACGGTCGGAAAGGTTAAAGACGCTGTAGAGAACCTGAAGGCCCGGCCCGGTCAGTGACACCTCAGAGGTCATAATGACGGTGGTTGAGTTTGTGAGCAGGGAGAGACGTTCGCAGTACGGCTGCAGACCTCTAGTGCCGCACAGCCTGAGAATTCAACCAGCACTTTTTCTTTTATAGTGATAAAAAAGGGACAATATAGAACTCAAACATAAATGTTGCAATTTGATGCACCGAACCAGATTATAGCAAAAGCGCATTTGCATCTGCAGTACCTTGACTAATTACAAAAACGGACATACAATAATAAAATATGATAGAAAACACAGCGCTGTGTGTTATTTTTTATTCACAATACACAAATACACATGTACAGCCTTAACCACTGGTACATACACACTCACAGTCATACGGTTAAAGTTCACATAATTGAACGGTTTTTAACAACATAATCTGGACGGTGTGTAACATAAAAATCATACATTGTTATCCAAACAGATTAAATTTTTGCCTCTGACTGATGAAAACATATTCTGCAGATAAAAATGAGAATATGAAACTTGCAGGTTGAAAACAACATAAAAAGGGCATGAGGTAGTATCAGGATGCTTTAGTGAGACAACAGTGCCACCTTTAGTTCAGACAACTGTAAAGGTCCCCTCACTTGAGTCTTGTGAGTGATTTTTGAAAAAAAACATAAATATCATTCAAAAATAATTGAAGTTGTAGTTCCAGAAATGTGTTTTAGTTGGGAATGGGATTCAGTCAGGCTTTTAAAGTAGTTGGGTTATAGTAAATGTTTTGGGACACTGACATCATTTGATGTGACTGCAACTAAACCCAGATGCGAAAAATCCATTCAGCAGGTTATTTGTTTGTAAGATCTACGAGCCTTTCAGCTGCCACCTGCATGTACGGTCTAAATGGAGGAAGAAAAACGAAGAAGTGGGTCTTAACCATAAACCTGCCTTTTAACTTCAGGGGTGCAGCACCTGGGCTTCAAATACCTTTTTTTTTTTATAAAGGATCAGAAATATTCATGAAGCCAGACTTTTGGTTTTGATGTTTTTTTCCCCCTGACTGTCAAACATTTAAATTTAAATACACGGAACTTTTTCTATTTTAAGTCACTTGGGGTTCTGAAAAGTCTTCACATTATAATTGGATTTCTGTTGTCTGGTTTAACCCTGTAGTTTAGCTGCACGCTGGAAAAAGAGGCCGATCGTACCTGCGGTTCTGGATGACCCACTGACCCTGGGTGCAGGCCTGGTTGTAGCTGGCTCTGCTCAGCTCGTAGCCTTCAAACTCCAGAGCCAAACCCAGCGCTGCGCCGGGCATCTGGGAGAAAACAGGAAAATGGTTTGTGTTCTGGCGGCCTTTGACACCGCCTGTTAAAAGGAGTCCCTGGCGGAAGAGACACTGACGATGAAAGTCCAGGTGCAGTTGGTGTTCGGAGGGTAGAAGCTGGGGAAGAAAGGCGTCTGGAGGACCCCCTGCGCCCCCTGCACGTCCTCCAGCTGAACGGAGGAGGTGCAGTCTGAGAAAACAGAGCAGAAAGAAAATCTGGGTTATAAATCCGTTTGCCCTTCCGGTATTAAGCTCAGGTGTTCAGCTACAGGTGGTTTGCTAACGAAACTGCGAACTTCAACGAACTTCCGGTCATGTTTTTTTTTCTTTTTTGTGACGTTGCGTGGAGAAACTTACTGACGTGATGTAATTTTAATTCCGAAATTGTGAGTTTGTTTTTCTTTTCAACATTAGCGGAACGTTAACAAACGTTTTTTCGCTCGTTTGTAACGGAAACAGCTTTTGCTTGCGGCCTGACGGCAGAACGAGCTTTTTGGCTTTTGGGAGAAGCTTTTCCCCATATAACCCTCTTTCTTTCAAACAGCTTTCCAGCATTACGTAAAAGGAGGATACAGAGGTAACGCCATAAAAACACCAGAAATGTTTGTTTTGGTACGTGGCCAAACAACATGGCGCCGAGCGACGTAAACGTCACACGCAGTGACGTCAGCTCTGCGCCACGCCTCCGTTGACAACGTTTCGTTCAGGTGAGTGACAGCTCCGGTCTCACCGTGTCGGGGCCACGCCTGCGCAGACAGAGAAAACGGGTCCTTGTAGTTGTAAAGGCCTTTTTTCCAAACCACCGTCATCCACTCGCCGGACGAGAGCACGCGCACCACGTCCTCGTGCCTGCTGCAGCCGTAGACCCTGCGGGAGGAAACAATGCCGGTTGCTCCTCTTCTCACTTTCATCAGACCTTAAAGCGATCCAGTTTTGTCGTAGTTCTTGTTGAAAATAAATAAATGAATCAACTCACGACGTAATCAGGTGGTGATCGGAGGGGGTGATGGAGTCGTACACCAGCAGCCGGTCTCGGCACTCGGGCAGCAGCCACGCCATGTGGAGCTCCAGCTGGGACCCGGGGTCGGTCTGCAGGTGCCACAGGCAGGAGGGCCGGTGTGTTTCTGGGCCGCGCAGGGCCACGGGGCCGCTGGACACCACCTTCCGGTACCGGTAACAGTCTGAGGACGAAGAGGGTCAGAGCTTACAACGAATGCTTAAAAGACAAAGGAGAAACCTTTCATTTACACTGTAAGGGGTCATCAAAAGATGAAAACTAACTAATATTCAGCTCAGTAAAACACGGAGGGAATGACAATCTGCCAGCTGTTCTAATTTGTGGTTTTTCACCAAATCAGCCTAAAATTACATTAACCAGCTGCTTGGGTCTTACTAAAAACATTTTCTTTTTCTATCGTAAGCACTTTCATCCATCCTCGCTGCAACTGTGAAAGTATGCACACTAATTCAATACAAAAGTCTTTTCGCTTTACAGTTTATTCGGTTCATTTATGGTTTTGAAGGGTTTTGTTCACTGAACTGGGAGTCTGCAACATTTACAACCCAAAGAGCCTTTTTTACTCACAGGCCATCCAAAGAAAACTTGTTTAAAGCAACAAACCACTATGAAATAAGACAACTTGTAATTTTAGATAAATATCTGCTGTTGGAAATTTGTTGTGATTTTAAAAGAACCAGCATTTTATTTCTTTTCTCATGATTTGAAGAAAATAAAATGTGTTTTAGAAACGATGGGAGAATGACTAAAAATAAAAATCCACATTGATTCCAGCCTAATGACAAGAAAACATTAGTTGCACCCTCAGTGACACTCGCTGTAGGACAACAAAACCCGCTGAGTGACAGTAAAATTAGCAAAGTAAAAAAAAACATGAAATGGAAAAAGGAAAGACGTGATACCAAACGAAGATGTCAAAACTTCTACAACTTTGGAGTTGGTTTCTGTGGGGAGGTGAACAAAAAAAACAAATGAAACCGAAAATATATCAGGAATACGATCTGTTTCATGCTCTCATTCATAAGTCTTTGTCTCACCAGTAACACACAGGGTGGGGAGGCGGAACAGGAAGCCATCGACGTTTGCCGTCTCCCCGCGCTGTGGCCTTCCGTGCCACCTGAGGCCGTCCTCCAGGCTTCTGGCGACTTCTTCTACTGTGACTTTTCCAGCGTGACTGCTGGGGACCGACAGCACTATCCAGAAGTGAGCCACCACACTCCCCTGCCTGCAGGCTCACAGACAAGCCTTAAGTTAACGCAGCTGATAATAGAGGAATAAATAAATGGATTGAAGTAAACTAACTGCTCTGTAACTCTTAAGCACTTTTGATTTAGACATCACCCACTGGCGTAGGAGGCGGGTTTTAGGTGTATGCTTTATGAAAAGAAGTAAAGTTCGATCACTTTGGTTTTAGCGTTTATTACTCCACTACTTAAAGAAAAACAAAGACCCACATACCCAAATGCAAAGACGGTGGTGTAGTTAAAGTATCTGGAAAGAGATGAGGCTTTTAAGATCTTCTTTAACTAAAAGACACAGAAAACTCATTATTATTTAACATTCAGCAGCCTTTATTTAATCTTGTTTTTTGAATGGGCGTGATTTCATTTCCACATTTTAGTGTGATTAGCTGCGTTTCCATCACAAAAGTGCAAAGATGTTCATCTATATTCTACTAATGTCAAAAAAAAAAAAAACACAATTTCACAATTGTGATGTTGCCACTAAATAAGAAATGAAATGCCACTTCCTGTTGTCTTTTTTGACGTTTCGCCAGTGGCAACATCCGGCTTTTGGTCATGTGACTGGTGTGACGTGAAAAAAGGGTTTCCATTGCAGTTTTGAAAAATACATCATTTCGACAGGCTGAAAAAAACACCTCATCCTAGCACTTTTTATTTTTCCATCAAAAAACTTGTTTCAATAAAAAACATGTTTTTCACCAACTTTCTTTAAGTCGGTGTGTTTCCATTAAGCAAATTTAGTTTTGTAATTTCAATTTGCACAGTTTTATTTTATGGTTAATGGAAATGCAGCTGCTGCTAAGAGAGTAAACAGAAAACACTGCTGTGCTTTTATTCTGAAGACAGGAAGTGCATTTTGTGTGCCGGTGTATCTCAGAATCACAGACTCGGCTCGTCTCGGTGTGAGCCAGTATGGAAAGAAAGCCATGTTTGCTGCTCACCGTGTTCTGTACATACTTTGCTTCGGCCTTAAACGTCGGGTTACTGTGAGAGGCCAGATCTGCTGAGAAGTTCCTGTTGACGATGGTCAAGTAAGCCGTGTACTGCTGCTGGACACGAGGCTCTAGCGTCCAGACACTGTATTCTGTCACAAAGGAAGAACAACACACATTCGAGTTTGATCCGCAGATGTGGACAATAAGTTGTTGGCTCATTTTAAATCGTTCGTACTTATGTGACACCAAGTCAAAACCCCAACTTTCACTGGGAAAACAAAATAAAAAAATTGTCCCAAATGTTCTACTGAATAAGATCTACCAAAAGGTCTTTATTATAGTCCAACCATTTGAGTTACAGCCGATTTGGAAAGGCAGTGCAGATGGATGGCGGCCTAAAGAGCTTCATGAAAAGACAGTTTTTCACTTTAAAGTAACACAATGATAAAGTGGTCGACCTCCTTTCTTATGTTGGTGTAACAGCAGAGAGACCATATGATTCACAAGACATCATTGAAAGACTTGTACTTTTTCTCACAGTAAAGCTAAAAGTCTCCAACAACACAGAAAAAAGTCCCTAGATTTGTCACTTGTTTTGTTTTTCATAAAGAGTCACTATAGGTGTCTGGACAGTCACTCAATTCAGCAACAGAGCATATAAACAACAGATGCCGCGTTGGTGCTGTCATGACCTCCAGATTTAAGAGATTTTTTTGTTTTGTTTCTTTCTTTTTTTTTTTTCTTTTACTTTTTGATTTCAGACATTCGAAAGTATTTGCTTGGCCAAAGATGAATAAATCCGCACTGACAAACCGAGAAAGAATCTCTCACCCAAGAAGTACCAGGCCAGAGTGGCTGCGACCGCAATAAGGAAGACGATGAGGATGACGAGGGAGGCTAGCACGCACTTGCAGGTGCGCGTCGTCTTCATATGTCGTTCTTCATTTTGTGTAGCAGCTTCTACCTGCTTAGAACAAAACAAAAAATTATAATACAGTATGTGTGCCCCTTTCCCCCCCAATATGAACGAAACTCAATAAAACATGTTTTAGATAATATAAAACATGTTTTGCTTTTGTTACGTCTTGGTTCATCAGGGGGAAATACAGATCTCAGGTGGTTTCCACAGTAGATTGTTGCCACATGTAATCCTCATAGTAAAGTTGTTATTTTATTCCTCTGGGGAACATTTTTGAGCGATAACAATAACAATCTGACTTCTGAGATGCCACGAGTTCAATAATTCCCTTGGTTGACACCTTGGTTAAGAACAGATGGGATTTTGTGATATTTTTCTTTCCCGATGTTCAATTGACACTTAAATTATGGACTGCTTTGGCAAAATTCAGCAACACTCATTTGCTTGAACAGAGATATTTTGAGAAAAGTGCAGAACGAAACTCAATAAGTTTCATAAATCTGTGGGATGTTCCACATTACTTTGGCTTACGGTAATGTCTAAAGTCAAACTTTTTTAGTTTGGTTCATGTGAGGAGCATTTTCAACAATTGCGTATCATCAATGCTTTGGATAGGAAGCAACATTGTTCTTCAGAGTTTGTTAACCAAAGCTGTTTTTTGTTGATCATGAGTTACAGACTCAGAAGGTTTACTGGCTAGTTTTGATTTTTAATGGAGTCCTCCAAGGCTCATTCTTAGGCCCTCTTTTATTTTGTAAAGTTTATTAATAACGGTATTGATGATTTGATCTTTATAACTTAAGTGCACCTTTTGAACATGATACTGTGTTATGAAACTAGACTAAATGTTTTCCAGAAATCCCTCCTGGCTCTATGATTACATCACTATTTCTACCTTATTGGAAAACTTTATTGAAAGAGAGTCAGCCTTTCATTTCAGAGTATATTGACTGTTTAAAAAATAAAAATAAAAAAAGGTACAGTGCTACATTGCAGTATGTAGTCAGTATTTACTAGAACCACTTTTTCTGCATTAGTCTTTTTAGGAATGTCTCTGCACTGATTTTTTATTATTTTTATTTATCTTTGCCCATTTCCACAAGTTAAATCTCGATTTTAATGTTGATTACCCCTCAACCTTTCACCCTTCTTTTGGAGCTGTGGCTATATATTTATGAATCTTTTCTGGCTCTCTTTTAAAATAAAGGGATTTCTGACAAAAACACCAAAAAAAAAAACATTAATCTCAAATTAATATCCAACTAATTTCTGTTGGGTGTTTAAAAGAAAAAACAAAACAGAAATTAGAATGTTACTGTTTTAAAGGTACAAGCTCTGCAAAAAATGTGTCATAAAAACAAACTTTAGAAAAACTACGAGAAACTGAATATTTGTATGTATAATTTTGTATTTTGAAAGTGTCTAATGGTTTTGTTGGTCGTCATATTAATTCTAAAGAAGTTTTTCACGTCTATGCACTTTAGAGTCTATGCACTCTAAAATACATTGCAGTAATACCGACTATCATTCTTTCTATCTTTTTCAGTGGCTACTGTGACGTTTATCGCAAGTTTCTTTCTATTATCTTACTCATCTTCAAAGAAATACCAAAAGCCAGCTCTGACTCATGAGTGGCAGCGACACGTCAACCTGCCCTTTTTTATACGTGCTACTATTTTCCATGAAGCTCAAACCATATTTTGTTGAGTATATAAAGGAGTTCCCCTTACTAGGCTTCAGTGAAGTTGTGTACGAGACGATTTTAAAACCCCTGCAATTGGCTGAAGAACGCATGACAGGAAGGGGTTTTGAGTACAGGAACTTGAGAGTTAGCATGAAACTAAAGCCATGTGAAAGCCCATTTTTCATGTCCTTAGATTTCAGTTTCCACTTAAAACCGCAGTAGTTTCTGTTTCCATAAACAAGAACGTCCGTTATGAAATGCGAGGCGACAAAAACAGCTTGTCAGACAGTTGCAGCATTACTGACCTCACTGCTCAGAGTGGCGGGTGTAACCTCCTGGTCACAAGAACCGGACTCCTTCAAGCCGCACCCGAGTGCCATTGGATCACTCCAAGAGACTCGTGGCCTGAGTAGACATTGCAGCCTCCCGGAGGGCTCCCTGTAGTTCAATCTTAAAGCTCTTATTAATAATTTTCAGCTTGGAAACAGCAACGGCTGCTGTTTGCAAGACTGCAGCTCCTGTCGTGTTTGTAAGTCCAAAGGTTTCCGGAGCTCGGTTGAACGTGGACGCTGGTGTCAGGCAGGGCCGAGCATCCACCAAGCTCGGAAAGGCTTCGGTTTATTCTCACACCACGTCTGGCATAATTCACATACAGCAACAGGAGCGAGAGCCAGGCGCACTGATGGCATCGCCTGGCAACAGTGAGGTAACCAGTCAACAACCCCCTGCACAGGTAAGTCTGTTGGGAGCAAAGCATGGTGGGAAGGTTGCTTCTGCAGGTCATGTCAAGCCCAACGCCAAACACACAACGGCACGTCTAGAAAAGATGCTAAACTTATTTTATTGGGATTAAACATCTTACAGTGCGCTACATTTGTTTATGTTTTGACTTGATAGGATAGGCAGTACAAAGAACACCAATAAAAAATATATTGTAAAAATCACAGACACTTCAGAGTGAAGAGAATAAACAAAATGCTTCATATTCCTTTGGGGTGTGTGCATTTGTTCCCATCTCCAGCGTCACTGCAGCAGCCAAATCTTTTGCGAAACGACTCTTAAACAACATTTGAGAAAATTATCAATAAAAATGGCCTAGATTTGGTATTTAGCAAAAATTAGCCCCATTATTTTTTTTAGAAATAAAGACAAACAAGTTGTTATAACAGCGGATACAGTGTTGACAGTACATTTTTTATGTAATAAATGCATTATAAGCTCTCACAAGGCTCACTTATATTCAGTGGCGGTTTTTGATAAGTGTAAAACATTAGCAGTTGCTCAGGAAAGCATTAGATCAGGGGGGGCCCAAAGTGGGTCCTGGAGGGCCGGCATCCTGCGTGTTTTAGTTCTCTCCCTAGTTTAACGCACCTGGATCAAATGACGGCTCGTCAGGAGGCCTAAGGAAAACACTGACATGGTGAAAAGGTCGTCGGTGCCACTATTAGAACAATGAAAAACTGTTAAAATGTAGAACTTCCTAAATTAATTGCATGGCCTTTTGCACATGTGATCACTAAATCTTCTGTACAAATTACTCAGTCAATACTTGACATATTTCCCCCCGATCCCTGTGATTTGTGGTGTGCTGTTCACCCCCCTGTGTTGATGTGCATCCTGTTTGCTGGTGACGCGAGAGGAGGCGGGTTACCAGGCGGAGCTGAACGTCGTTCAGCCCAGCCCACGTCTGAGAGGATTTCCTGGGCTTTGATTAATTTTCCGGCGGTACGGCAGTCAGCCCACAATACATGGAGTGCAGGTCAACCTGTGGCGTTCTGTGTGCTGTTAGCAAGAGGCCTCACTTTTGCAAACATGCTGCCCAGGGTGGCAAAAAGTACCACTGCTTACTGTTTTTTTGTTTTGTTTGTTTTTTATTTTTAATAAAATAGAACTGGGGTCAAGAAAAAAAGAGAAGTCAGATAATGTGCATCAATTAAGGTTGCACTCCTCAAACTCCGGCTTGTTAGCCTGGAGAGTCCGGTTTGTTTGGAGAGGTGTGTATGTGCAGGCTAACTAGTGTGAACTCTGATCCGTAAACTCTGGAACTCTGTTGAGGTTTGAATGCATATGTGAATGTCAAGTGGCCGGTAGAGCACTCCAAGAGGAGGAAGCAGACTATGCCGCAGGGCATTCTGGGTAAATACATCAAAAACAACCCTGTGAGGACAAAAGAGGAATCCTTCAACCGCTGAAATCTGCCACCTTTCATTTGTCTGTATGTTTTGGAAGTTGTGTTCATGTCTTCTTCAGAGGTTTTAGCGTAGTTTCCTTCAGTGCAGCATCAAAGTGAACCACAGCTGCTGAAAATGCAACAAATGTGACTTTGGTCCCCAATCAAACCGAGTCTACTGAACCATCAGAAAACACCCCGAAGCATCGCAACTTCCACAGTTTCCTCACTGGGAAAACGGATAAAAACCTCACAACAATAATAATACTAGTAACAAACTGCGTATGTTTTATATTGTCATATTTTGCTGGGCATTATGGCTTGTTGTTTGCCTTGCGGTTACTTGAGCCTCCTATTCTTTGCTCTGTCCCTGCCTTACTGGTATCAAAAATATCAAGGGGTTTGCCAAAGCAGGGGGAGGAAAAGGAGGAAATAAGAAGCGAGTACCTTCAGCGTTCTTGTCCTCCCTCCTCCATGAGGGTTAGGGTTAGGTCAAGACTCTCCTAGTTGACCTTGTTAATGCCTGAATCCAGGCAGGAAGCCCGGGGAAGCTCAGGGCTTTCAGCCTGGATCGTTGGAACTTGTTTGTAACCTGAAAAACCCTGAGGAGGATTTTGACAGAAAATGCCTCGACTGCCTCCAAACAATTTCTGAATTTCACTCTCCTTGCTCAGTGACCCATCGTCATGTCCCTCCGTCATATAAATGCTGTCTTCCTCCATGCTCTCCTGACTGGCCTCCTCGTAACTCTCCATGCCCGAATCTGCGCTGAGGAGCCGGAGGAGCTCTCCATTCTCGGCCCGGATCGTCGGAATTTGTTTGTAATCTGAAACAACGGTGATTTTGCTCAAGATGCTCTCACTGCCTTCAAACAACTTCTGAATATCCGATTTTGTCTCATTCTCTTCACTATTTATTTCCTGCTTTTCTTGCGCCCCTGGTGTCCCCTCAACCAGACTCATGCTGTCTGCCTCCATGCTTTCCTGACTGACTTCCTCATAACTGGTCATGCCTGAGTCCACACTATGGAAACTGTGGAGTTCAGTCGGGAGTTTCTGGACCCTCTTGTAGTCAGAAATCACCACCGCCCCGTGGTTCATTCCACCCGTCAGGAGCGCCTCGACCATTTCCGCTTCTCTTCTGGCAACGTCGCCGTCCCCTTTTTTATTTTCCTCATCTTCACCACCAGGAACATTCCTGTAGGAGGCTTCGACGGCGTGGGCCTTCGGACTCCCGGCGGTGAGCGGGAGCACAGGAGGGCAACAAAACCCAGAGTAACTGTGGTTGGAGAAGCCGGAGCAAAAGGACTCGAGTTCATTGAACTCGAGTCCTTTTACGACTGGCATCACTTTTACAACCGGCATGCAGAGTGTGACGTCGTCCACAGCAGACGTTTCTTCAGCAGAGACCATGTCTGCAGAGTTTAGGAAGGACTGATAGAATTCACTGGTGAAGTACGGATCCAACCAGGTCTGTGGACAGAAAGATGAGAGTGAGGAAGTAGGAGGAGGTGGGGAAAAAATGTTAGAAACCTAAAACCAAGAAAGATCCTTGAGTTAGCATGATTCAGCTAACCGTTGAGTTGGACTTAAAGTAACAATTCCATACTTGTTTTTGTTTTTCTGCTGGAATTGTTAGCATTATATTTAGCCTCTCACATGTTTGTTGCTAAAAAGCGAAGCAGAAAGAAAAACAAACGAAAATCAAAAGTTTGCCTGGAATTGTCTTGACTTCTTAGGATCAGGCATAGATGGACCTGTGATCTTCTTCAGGATGTAGATCCTGGAACTAAAGCACACGGCGAAGTTTGTGATCATTTGTCTGATGTATTTGAATTCATGTATGTTTTTGTTACTTACCAGGCGTTCCTGCGCATTGCGATGAACACGCCAGGCAACAGCAACAAACCAAACACTGCGAGGCTCAAAATAGCCCAGTTCAGATCAACCACATCCTCTCCTGAAACACACCAACAAGCACAAGTCCTGATGGGTTGAGTTCTTCTGCAACATTTCTTTGAGTTTTATGCTTTGGATTTATTGTTAGATTTTTCTCATACGCAGCACAATCTCAGGAAACGTATCTCCATTTTGACAGGACAAACAAAGGAGAGCTGGCTTCATTTGAGGTGGCCTAATTTTTATTTATTTAAAAAAAAAATGTTTTACCTGATCTTGGTCTGGGCACCCAAGACACAGTGGGGCTCCAATCGCTCCAGGTGGCATGAGTCGAGACATAAAGGGCTTTCACACGAACGCGGGCGTCATACGTCCTGCTTTCTAGAAGCCGGTCTTCATCCAGCTGCGCCGTACATTCCCATTTACAAAGACTTTTTTTGGACTGGGGATCCTAAGAGATATTAATAGACAATATTAATATCTACTTTCACATCAGTCAGAGTAGTTTAGAAAAATATGCCTTTCCCATGTTTAAGACTTTCACTATTTCCTGGCAGATAGTCTGCTTCCTCCCTGTGGTCCTACTGCCATCTGCAGAAATACACCAATCAGTCAGGAGGAGGGACTTGTTAGTGTCGAATTTGCTCGTGAACGCATTCCTCCTCCGCCTTGCTCTCTGTGACACCACAGTGGAGCCTGCCGTGGATTCTAAGTCTCGTCAGCATCTCCGCCGATGACAGCGGACAGACGGTTTTGCTGCTGCGGTCATTTGTTTCTGCGTTGACACAGCTGCAGTGGCAGTAGGACCACAGGGAGGAAGCAGAGGAGCTCCATTCTTTCACACATCATCTGTCTTACATTACACTGAAAGTCTGAGAAAATGTGTACATTTCTTTTTATGAAGGTTGCCCACGGCACGGTTTCTTTATTCATGATGTGTTGGCCACACATCATGAATAAGTCCTTTGTTGTTCTCTTTTTATCTTAAAATATTTACTCACGCTCCATCTGTGTCCCTTTTGTTTCCACTGTAGCTCCGTATCGTAGTCGTAATATTCAATGTATGTAGGCATTCGAACTTGGGAGAACCAGGAAAGTCTGGTAAAGTTGACTTCAGGCTTTGGAGGAGGATTCAGCTTTACTGCAGGATCATAAAATGCGAAATGTTCACCAGGTAATGCGACAAGATGGCAAAGTCGACGGCTCCTACGTACTGTGACACGCTGGCTGGTAAAAAATGATTTGATTTTGTTTTGAAGGGAAGCAGCTCAAATTCATGGACACATTAGTGAAGGTTTGGAACTGAAAGAAAATTGATCATTTTAAGAAAAAAAAAACACAAGACAAGCCTTTTGGCTACATTTGTACCACCTTTTTGTTCTCATTAATCTTAAATTGTCAGGTGAACTTTTATTGATGTTATCCCAAAAGGATTTAAGGATTAGTTGTCATAAGGTTTATATTCTCTGTGTTTGGGGTTGATCAATCATTAGCAAGCACATGTGTGTGATGGCCATGTATTTTTTTTTTTTAGCTAATTCATAAGTAGGACTGATAAACTGTTGATATTGATTTTTGAATAAGTATTTTCTTTACTGTGCAAAACTTCTTAAGTTCTTTATCTTCGACAGTAAAGTAGCTTTTGTGCACTTTTACTTTCAGCTGAACTGAAGAAATTAGGAGACAATAGCTGCAGCCGTGTTAGCAAAGAAATGTTTGAATAGAGTGTGTACTCAAAGACGAAGGAGAAAAATGTCCAGTAAGATTATTTCTCAATTTATGATAATTACCATATATGACAGTCAACCACAAATGTGTTAATGTCCCTGGGGGGATTTAGGTTTAGCATAACCCTTCAGTTTTACTAACACTGGATCAAAATGAAACTGAACATTTTGCAACAAGGGTGCGACTCCCATAATGCCAACAATTGTTAACATTTCAATGAAAACATTTTTCTAAAACTGATACTCTTTTTCTGTGATTAAAGAATGAAATCTTTTTGGTCGAATGGAAGTCACTTTACATCCAGATCTAGTATGAATAATTTTGAGCGTTACTGCGCCTTCTGAGTTCAGGAGAGATTTATGGGATGAATGTGAAAATATATATATTAAAAAATTAAATTAAAACTGTTTATCATGAGCCCTTCAACATAAAGTGATTGTTGGGACAAAACACAGTTAAATGAACTTAAATAGCTGTTAGCTCTTTGGGGATTCGAAAAGCATTCAGCAGAATGGTGATGTACAGAGATGTGAAGTATTTTATAGTAGAATAATATTAATACTCACCAGTTCGGTTACTTCAAAAATCAGCGAGCACTTCAAGTCTGGTCCGGCGTTATCAGAAGGCCGCAGCACACAGGAAGCATTTCTGAGTAAAAAAGATAAGATAAAAGGGAAAATTATGATCATTTTTGTTTTCTTGTTTTTTATAATTAGTTAGAATGTGGTATAAAATATATATGGCTCCTTATCTATATTTAAATACCTGTTGTTGGTCAGTATTTTGGCATATATAGAGCAGGTGTCATTCTTGTGATGAGAGCTTTTCCATGTGCAGCTGATATTGTGACTGTAGTCGTTATAACAATTGAGACCTGGGACAAAAGACGATGAGATCAAGCAAAGAATAAACTGTTTAATTTGAATCCCATAGAGCAGTTCAAGTGAAAGAAAGGACTGACTGTTATGTGGATGGCTCGGGCAATCATCAGCGGAGGTTGACAGCAGATGAAGCAGGACGAGCAGGAAAGGAGCGGCCATGTTTTTCTCTGCTGCATTTAAAAGTTTCATTGGAGCTTTTAAATGCAGTTTTGTTGTCTTTAGAAGACCTGGTACAGCTTTTAAGTCTGCGCGACCTGAATGTGTGACATGAGAACATTTAGAAAAACGGTTAAATATCGGAGGCAGTGAATGCTGATTGGTCTGCAGGTATGGAAGACTTTCGTTGATGTTTTCCTGTGCAAGGCGGTTTCCAAAGATTTTAAAAGATCTGAGAACTGTCTTGAGGAATACGTCTCACCTGGGGTTGTCATTACCAAAACAAGGTTTTCTCCTAAGTATTATTTTAATGCCATGAAGTATTTTTCACATTGTGACTCTTAGCTGAAGCCAAATAGTTGCTCATTTCTTTGTGCTCCTGCAGTGCTTTGGTTAATAGATCCGGTGCGTAATTCAGGTCAGGTTTAGGTTGTGGTTACGAAAAAAAAAACAACCAAAAAACAAAAACATGTTTGTGTTCAAAAATTTCCAAAATCAACATGCAGTACTTGAACTGCATGTTGAGACAAGTTACGGCTGTTCGAAATGTTTGGAAACGTGATCGGAGGCGTTCATGTCAGAATATTACCTTTTAAAACTCATTTTCATTTCCAAAAATAAAAAAAATCTATTGAGGCACTTTTAGACTGACACTTACAAGACAAAAATAAAAATCTTAGAAACATTCTCATTACTATTGTTCATCATTTATTGTGATAAATTTCTTACCATGATAATAATTTTGATTCATTGTTGCGTGATAAATTGAATGAATGAAAAACTGTCCAGGTTGTTAGTTTTAACTTTTTTCCCCACTGGTTTTTCAAGGAGAATGTCATTACATATCAATGCATCTGAAAATGTGACGAAAAGCAGCTACTGTGAGCTTTTCAGTGACACAGTGCTACTTTATGTGAAAAGAAGAAGTAACTTATCATAGTAGAACAATGAAATATCATGTTGAAAACCTCTCATTTCCATCATGTGCTCAACAGTCAGACAGCAGAAACTGTTCCTTCCTGTTTCCCCATCAGCAGTAAGAAATTTGATCCGTCTGCTTGCCTAGCTTTTCTCCTTAAAACACTGCTCTAAAACATTTCACTATACAGATTAAAAGTCAACAAGCGACACAAAAACCCCCAGATGTTTGCCTCTCACCTGCTCAGGAGGGAGCATGAATCTGCTTCAGGTGCTGCATTCGGTGCAACTGACAGGGAAGGAGCAACTCTCATCACAACGTCGACTCCTCACCACAACCACAGCCACGTTATTAATATGTATCGACTACGAGAAAAGGTCACTGCAGGAATGAGTCATGACACTCGTTTGAGGAATAGGTGTGAAAACTAATTGAGTGCGTTTCCGTCACATGCAAGCCGGTTGTGTTTAAGACTCCCTGGAAGTTTAAATGGATTCGCAGTGAAGGTCAGTCATTTGGAGCCGTCGCTTTGACATCGACGGATATGGAAGAGTTTGTAAAAGCAGGAATTTGTTGCACGTATTTGAACTGATTGAATTTCTCCAGGTGTTCCAGTGAACAACTGGTTAGACTACATGCAGCCATCGACATGCACTCTGGCTGGGATTCTGATCAGTCCTGATGCCAACGCAGCAACTTCAGGCCACAAATACAAATAAATGATATTTAAGAACCCAGGTCTCTGATTGGCTAAAGCACGCTCTAGTTCAGCTCTGATGTATATGCGAAAAGCCAAAGAGGATGGGTCCCCAAAAGCAGGAAGTGGACTACAGTGCAGGGTATTCTGGGTCAAAGCAACCAAAACAATTGTGAGAGTCTAGAGCTGGCAGGAGAAATGGCTCCTGGTTTTTAGCAGAAGACAAAAAAGTGAAATCCTACGACCTCTAAAGTCTCACACCGCTCAATTTTTCTTTATGCTTTGCAAAAAAGGTAGTTGCTCAGAGGTTTTTGCATCGTTTCCTTCCTTCAGCCACAGGCACCTTCACACACACACACACACACACACACACACCCACACACCCCCACACACACACACACACACACACCCACACACACACACACACACACACACACACACACGCACACACACAATGAATGCTGAGACCGAAAGTGCGTCATCTTTCAGCAATTTCCATAACTTCCCACAGACACAAAAAACTGCAGGACAGACATTGATTGTGTTCCACAGGTTTTATTGAAGCATGTTGTTGCTGTGCAGTCAGCAGGATGAGTTCTTTATTAATATTAATAATAATATTTATGTATTTATTTCAATAAAAAGATGCAAACAAGTAAATAAAATGCAAACAGCGGATTAAAAAGGAAGAGCTCTTGAAAACGGTGTAGTTTGGTCATGGTTGCTTAACAATAAACTCACAGTGAACGTGTGGGGAGAAAGAAAGGGCAGTTTTTTGGGTGAGGATGTTTTTAAAAAAAAAACAAAATAAAACACTGAAAATAGCAGCCCTGTTTCACATCGCATCTTTACGGTTACATTTTTACAGGTGATGAACATTTCCACTTTTGCAGCAAACTGGTTTTACATGTTAATATAACATCAGGCGCATTGATGACATCCCCAATTTATGGTAAAACACAAAATTTTATCGCATGAAGACGGTAAAATATTTCTTCTTATTCTGCCAACCACAGCTGCCGATAGTTTGCTATAAATTAGAGATGTTTTTTTTTTTTGGGAGGGGTGGGTGAGGGAGTTACTGAAAACACACAGGAAAAAAACACAGCAATATACTGATGTTAGAAAACACAATTTGGACTTTTGAATCCTCAAGCATTTTTTTCTTGGCTCTTATAACTTGAGTTTAATTTTGACTTTGTTGAATATTTTGTCCCCCCCGGTTACAGTAACCGTCTGTGCAGATGTGAATGACATTTCAGCTTACACTGAGGGCAAAGTACACATATACATGTAAAAAAATTTACATTTCAAAAGGGAGGAAGATTTCAATGAAGAAAAAATTGGTAAAAAGCAGAATTACGTTTACACTCTGGCAGAAATGTTGCTTTTGACAGCCACTCAAAATGTTTCTCACACAGCCAGGCTGAAACTGAAACCTCAGAAAAGAAGGTGAATTTCATGACATGTTGGAGCTCATGAGCAAACCTGATACCTGGTGGCCCAGAAATGCAAAACGCACCAGTGAAAGCGTCCAATATGAGTGGGCCGTTTAGCTGGAATTTGGAGAGAGAGCTTTATTTTTTTATAATATTTTAGCACACGAGAAAAAAAAAGCGCTTTGAAAATGCCTGTTTTCTTAGAGGAAGCAGCAGCACAAGCAACAGTTTTTAAGTGTTTTTGCAGACACTTTGTCAATTTGCATGCGTTGGACTTTCACATGCTTCAATCGATGAGGCCTGAGGGGGCCTCTCCTCGGACCCCCCGCCCCATGGAGAACGTTCTAGCTCCGCCACTGATTAAAATGCCAGCCTGAAAAGAAATCCTTCTGCTACTTTTGTCAGCTCACAACTAAACTGTATTGATATGATTCTCAATGAGTCATGTCAAAACATTGACATGCTAATGTTCAGTTCCAAAGAAAACTGCTTGTCAAAAAAAAAAACATCCCAGAAAAGCATGCAGTACCGCGGTGAGGGTCTGGTGACTGTTGCAGATGCGTGTATTGAGCTGGACGTGTTTTACACGAATGTTCATGGAACCGCACACATTTAGGGTGATGTTTCATTGGAGCTTCAAGCAGAAGTTATTTTGATTTTATGCCACAAATTGTTTGTATTTTTATCGTTTGTTTTTGACATTTTAAATGCAGTTTTGTTGGGGTTTTTTTCCCCCTTTAAGAGCTGATGCTAGGCTCTTTCAGAACCCAGGCTGAAATGAAATCATCCTGTCTGAGCAAGAAAATCAGTTAAATGCTTACATGAACCAAATAAAATTTTAAAAAAATCAATAAATGAAGGTTTTTCAACTCAGAGTTTTGCTGGATTTTTAATAATAAAATGCCTCAACATGTGTTAGTTAATATAGAGCAGAAAAATTTTGATTTTTTTTTGTATCTGTCCTTTAAAATTGTCTTCAACCACAGAAGGTGCCAAAGGTATTCATACCCCTCGAAACTTTACACATTTTGTCACATTGCAACCACAAACACAAATATATTTCATTGGAATTTGACGTGAAATTATTGACAATTCAAAACATCTTTGCAACTGAAAAGTGCGGTGTGCTAAAGTATTCTCCTTTCAGTTTTTTTGTGGTGAAAAAAAACCCACCTAATTTTTGAATCACACAACATTTTCTTGTTATTTAAACAATTGTGTACCACTTTGCGTCGGGCTTTCGCATTCAATTCCAATGAAATGTTTTCATACTCGTAATGTGACAAAATATGGGAAAGCTCAAAAGGGCATGAATACTTTTAAAAGCCGGTGCATGAGTGAAAACCTGTTGGGTTTGGTCTTGCACATAAACTACTGGGGGTTTTCGCAATTGAAATGTTGATTTCTTAAAATACAAACATTGTTTTTTTCTTCTTCTTCTTTTTCTTGCAAAATGGCTGCTCTTTTCATATCGCTATATTACTATTATGCCTCTTTTGCTAGAATAACTCTGGAAGACCGAATAATCAGCTACTGGCGTGTTCTTTGCTCCTTGTTGTCAACCAGGAAATACTTTGATCACATTAAAAAATTAAAAACATTACCAGCTTATCTGCTTTGGAAAATCTACAAGCTGTGCTCTTTGATATGGTGATAGAGTAAATTCATAAAAAAATAAAATAAAAAAAAGTTTTTCACACCTAATCTTCCCAACAGATAAGACAAAACATGCATCGTTACCAGGAAACGCCTCCACAGGAGGCGGCTTGTCAGCCATCGATTTAAACCCAACCATTTATATATTGTACTTTTTGGAAGCTTTTTGCATGTGTGAAAACTAAACATCCCCTCAGATTGGGGCAAGGTGGGTGTTTTTTAAATTATTTTCTTTTCTTTTTCTGTTTTCTTCTAAAACTGCAGCAAATCTCACTAGGAAACATCGAACCGTCGTCTGGTTTTGATTTCTGTTAAGAATCTTTTTTGCCCTCGTTTTGCCTGCTCGCTGGTTTATGGTGAAAAATGACACATGAAGGACAGGAGGGGGTGCAATGAGCAACTCGATCCTTGACGTCTACCACAGCTGGAGCAATTTTTGTTTTATATTTATCACGTTCCAAGTTCACTGTTGTCCTGCCAGTTACAAATCAGATACGTCATGGAAATCTCTCCAAAAATAAATACACCCTTTATTTTATTGTGACTGCAGATTTGACTTTTTCCACAGGATTTTTATGCCTTTATGAGAAAATGTGCTTTTTGTTGGAGACATCATGGTGAATCTGAGTCACTGTATGAAAAGGCAAATGAACCTTTTCTCCACTAAATGGAGTCATAGTTAAAAGATTTTACTGATCAGGAAATACTTTTCTTTAAATTCATCCAAGCCTTAGTAAAAAGAAAAAAAAAAAGAAAAAAAAGACAAAACACAGAACTGTTTTCATTTTAATACGTGTATTAAAATGCAATGATGCAATATTAAAATGCATTTCAATGTATTTCATCTACATTTACACGTGCCGCTTATTTGTTGAACATTTCTTAAAAGGAAAATAATTGGAGAAAAATTCAGAAATTTCAAATCTCGCTCACTGACATACAAATACTAGTAAGCAATGAAATAGTAAAATAAAGATAAAATATGACAGCGAGGTAAGTCTAATACATTTAACGGTAAACAAAAAATTAATGATAAAAACAAACCATTTAATTTGTAGGCGAAACGTTCGTTTAAAAAAAAAACACAGCTACTCCATTACGTTTGGATACCAAAAAAATAAGGTCAAGTATTGGAAAATATATCAGCTGCCAATATGTCATCTGATCAGTGTGGGTGTCATTATCAGATCTAACTATTTCCACCACCTTTGCCAAACTCAGATCTTAATCAGTGAATAATCTAGACATATACTGTATATGAAAACAATAGCCTTCATGAATTTTCAAAAACATTTTTTCACTCATCGGTACGTGATGAAGCTGCCATGTGAAACGGAGATGTTGTTGCATGTAGGAATGAACTGCTGCTTAGATAAACAAGCAAAAAGAAAAGATATGAACATTTTCACTCACATATTTAACAGAAATGCATTTGTATTCATTTTGACAAAAACAACAAAAAAAAGAGCAAGAAAGAAAGAACAAAAAGAGGCGATCGCCTGAAAGTTACAATATTCTTTGTAAAAAAAAAAAAAAAAAGTATGCTATTCAAAACTACACAATAGAGTCTCTGTAATAAGAATAAATTTGTGACTTTGGGTAAAGGTACATTGACCTGGTCATGGGCGGTTCTAGATGGGGGAACGAGGGGACCAGAGCCCCGGCAGCACTGGTTGCTGTGGACGAAATTTCAGTTTCTTTTACCTTCATAGTTTCACTTTAACAATGAATTAAACATTAAGATGTTGCACTTTTAGCTTCAGCCACATTGAGAGAAGTTCACAGTTTTCATCTGCCAGTGTACAGTATGTAGCTTTTCGAAAACAATTTGTAAAAACTGTTACTACGTGGCGACAGTATAGTATAAGACAGACAATCTGTAAAAAGATAAATTTTTAATTATCTGAAAAAATGCACCAACCAGTCAGAGCCAGGAGGAGGGTCCTAGCGTTGTCATTAGCTCATAATATGAGCTAATGACGGAGAAACACCTTATCGTGACAAAAACACTGTTTATCTATCATCATTGTGGCTATGCTAACTAGCATTCTGCTACCGGGAAGAGTCGATTATGTCTCATTTTGTGCCTCGTATCTCGGCACTGATAAATAAGCTGGTTTAAAAACGGAGAAAATACATTCATTAAGAGCACCGCCCTCTGCTGGTGCTGTCCGACTGCAACACCAGGCCTGCTGTGATTATCAGCTCTCTCTCTGCTTCACCGGCATGTAGCCGTCGCTACAGGGCTGCCTCAGCATGCTGCCTGACAGAGCAATCTGCTTCAGGATGTCGTTACCGTGGAGAGGCGGTAAAAACGAACTCAGAGCGGTGCTTAAAGGCTGCTGTGGCGGCGCCCCGGGAGGTTGAGGTGGGGAAAGGAAGCGGGTGGTCTCGGAGGGCTTGTCGTCGTCGTCTGTGCCGCCTTCCTGTTCCTCGCTCTCCGCTGTCTTGCTAACGCCTGAGTCCTGGCCCGGAGGCGCTGGGCTTTCATGTCGCAGCCTGGGGATTTGTTTGTAATCGAAACACGTCTGGATAGAGTTTTTGCCCAAAACGTTCCCGCTGCCACCGAACAACATCTGAAAATCTAGTTTTGTCGCGTTCTCTCCCTCCTCGTCTTCCTGCTTTCCCTCCTTCGTCCCTTCGTCGTGTCCGTCGGCCGTGTTGATGCTGTCTGCTTCCATGCTCTCCTGACTGACTTCTTCACAGCTGCACATCCCCGAATCCACGCTGTGGAGCCGGAACCTCTCGGCCTGCTGCTGCTGTTTTTCCACCTTCTCGTAGTCTGAAACGATCACCGCCTTCTGCTTATCGCCGCCCATAAAGAGCAACTTGACCATTTCCAGTTCTTTTCTCGCCGCGGCGTCGCCATCCTGTTCGGCGTCGCCATCCTGTTCGGCGTCCCGCTCTTCGACTCGGCCGCCTGTCGGCTTGTAAGGGGCGTCGGGCGCGCAGGGCTGCAGCTTCTTGGCGGGCGCGCAAGCAGAAGAGCAGAGCTCGGAGTAACTGGGGTTGGAGAAGCTGGAGCAGCTGGAGTCGTAGCTCTCGCCTTCTGGGACCGTTTTTACTTCTGGTCTGCAGAACTTCATGGCGTCCACGGTGGAGGTTACTTCGTAGGAGACAATATCCACTGAGCTCAACAAAGACTGAACGCACACCTCGGTGAAGTGGGAGCTTAGCCAGGTCTGCAGAAAAAAAAAAACAATTGACGACGGGGGTAATTCAATGGATGGAACCAAAGCAGTTGTTTTATAAGGGTTGAAATGCCACCAGGCTTCATGTGCTCATTATAATGAGATGTATATAGTGGCTCTGTTGCCACTATATACATCTTGTATTGACTTGGACCTGACAGCACACAGTGATGTTGCTGTTGTTTTACCATTTGAGATTAACAACCAGAAAAACCCCTATAAACTCACCTGGACTGCAGATTTTTCGGGCTTTGAAACAGGAATAACTTCTTGACCTTTCGGGTTCAGAGAAAACCAGTCCTGTGCCGAAAACATAAGGTGGGTTAGCCAAAGATATGATATTTTAAAACGTTGCTTTGCAAGATTTTTCATAAACCAAAGATTGTTTTAACCGCGATCCACTAGATGAACAACAAAAACAGAATCAAGAGAAATCAACTCAATCACCTGGAAAATTTCGGCTTTCCCAGGGTCCGGTATGGATCTGCCTTTAAAGCTTTTCACTACGTAGATCCTGAAACAATAACAACAAAAAAAAAAACTCCATTGTAAACCGAAGTCAAAGAAGGCTGACGCCCAATGGGGGTCGAACTTTTAACATCACAAATCTAACAACACCGTTTTTGGAAAATAGTCTCAGTTCCTCACAGTTGTTTTTTGCGCATGAAAAGGACAACGGCGGCGAGCAAAAGACCCAACACTGCCAGGGTCACAACGCCTTTGGTGGAAACAGCCTCGTCCAACTCTGGAAAACACAGAAGGTCTCGTTAGCTGAGAGACATGCTCACAGAGTTCGTACTGCTGCAGAGAGTCTGTAAAGAAGTGTGTTGTGTTTGGGATTGATGCACCGTTTTGATGTTCGGTTTTAGAAAGTTAATCTTCAACATTCCTGCTATCCTGTTATCTTTGCTATTATCAAAACGGGCTCAATAAAACCTTTGTTCAACTGTGTTCAGGTTCGCTGCCATTTTACCTGGGGTTGGTTTCAACGTCCCCACTTGTGACACCCATGAGCTGGTGGGACTCCAGTCACTCCAGGTTCCCGAATAATAGGAGGGAAGGAACAGCATGCGAAGACGAGCTTCGTAAGTCTCATCTTTTATGAACCAACTGGGGTCCAGCCGAATCTCGCAGTTCTCTTTACACCGGACGTTTTTATTCTGAATGGGTGTATCCTGATGAGAAAAGACAGTCAACACAAAGTCAGCAGGCTGGTAGTTTTTCGAAAATGTGCATCATTCTCATCAGTAAACGGACGAGGAGGCATTTTGTTTGCAGAGAGGCGTCCGACGCCAGGATGGGGCTGTCGGCTGTTTGGGTGAACCATGTGGGAGCCTTTATTATGAAATATTAAAATGTTTACTTACAGTCCACGACTTATCCTTTTGCTTCCACTGTAGCTCAAAGAGGAACATGTCAATTCTCATGTGTTCTTCAAAGGTCCAGGTCACCTTGGTGTGGTTTACATACGGCCGTCCTGGTGGGTTCAACTTTACTGCAAAATCCAACATTCAGATGTTAGCTGTCAGATAACGCACACAGAGGTCACACGGTTCCTCGCGAAACTCCTTGTCGAACTTTTTCAGATTCGTCACATTACAACCAAAAACGCCAAATCAACTAATTAGGTTTTTAAATTATGAGTTTCTTCATTTCTTTACAACATGGCTATTAGAAAAGCTACCTATGGATGGTGGCTCTAACTGTTCCTCTGCACAAAATGTCTACAGTGAAATGTCTTGCCTGGATCTATTTTTTGCCATTTTGTGTTACTTATTTGCAAGCTATGTCCTTTGTGGGTTTTTTTTATGCAGGACAACTATTTTTATTCTTCTTCTTGTTTCAATAAACGTGGAAATGACTTGACTGTACGACTGAGGTGATTTGTTTTACAGAGACGTCCTGAGAGCTGCTGCATTTTGTTTTTAGTAAATGGTTAGCAGTTTAGCTAAAATAATTGCCTCCCAAAAAATAGCCAAATGTACAACTGACCAGCACTTTTTAGCCAATTTTCTTTTTAGCAAGGCAGCGTGCTTAGTTTATACTCACTGTTACAACTTGGCATGTTGTAGATGACTTCAAGATGTTCTGAAGGCGTGCATCTCACAGTCACGGTTAAATTATGAAATGACTGGAACTGAAAATTAATAAACACAATTATTCTTACTTTCAGAATGCATTCATAACCATCTGAAACATTTTAAGAAGCAGTAACATCAGGTTTTGTTGGCCATTCCTACGTAGTTGAAAAATGCTGACGTTTTGAAAATGAAACATTTTTCCTCTTTCTTTCTCGTCAAATGCAGACATTATTGTTTGAGTGAAGGGTTCCAGCAATGGACTGAAACAGAAATACATCTGTTAAATCATCTGGGCCTCCTGACAAAGGTTTTGTTCACCTCTGAACAACATGAGGTACAATAACAATGAACATATGTCACGTCAGACTAACTCAGTCTTCATGAAATGTCTGTTTTTCATCAGCCTTTATGCTTTTGCAAAACCGAGCACATGGTCCCTGACAAAATTAAATCGAGACTAAACATGAAAAGGCAGAAACCAAGTGGGAGTTAGTGAAGATGTTTCTTTTATTTGACATATATTTGAGATGTAAAGCTTTTTCAGAAGCAGAAACTGCCAATTTGAACCCGCTTATCCAAAGAACGGTGTCGTATACTCACAATGTAGGTATACTGGAATGTCATTGAGCAGCTTTTTAAAGCTGGGTTGGAGGCATCAATGGGCTTTAGATCACAGGAAGCATTGTAAAAACTGGTTAAAAGAGAAAAACCTTTGTTAATTATTTTTTCTACAGCGTTACTTAGAAGCATTTCATGCGGGGGGAAAAAACTCCTGCTGTTCTCACCCGTAATCAGTATTTTTTGCATGTACTGTGCACACGTCGCCGGTAAGATGGCGGACGTGAGAGCTGTTCCACACACAGTTCATAACACGGTTGAAGTCATTGTAGCAAGTGAGACCTGTACACAAGAAGGTGGGCATTTAATTAACCGGAAAAGAGGAATAATTTCAGATATTCGTCAAATATCGAGTTAAATGACTCACTCTTTAACTGATGAATGCTCGGGCATTCATCAGCTCTAGCACTGCAGATACGAAAGATAAGGAAGAGAAAGAGTCCTATCCTGGTTGTCGCCATTTTCTTCACAAGTTATTTTCTTTGAGATATGAACCACGAGGATGGCTGGGTTTCCTACATGTGTGACCAGAAGGTTTGAGGGCATCAGTCACTTTCTAGCTGTTGTTCTTCTCATCCTGCAGTTGAGAAATGGAAGAAAGAGAAAAAAAGACAAAGTTTCACTCTTTTCAACACCGATTTACTGAACACGCGCACTGAAATACAGAGAAGGGGTTAGGAAACGTTTCAGGTCAGCTGCGCCGTGGTTTCACTTGCGCATACTGAGAAAACACCTGGTACGTTTCTTGTTTGACAAAAAAATTTATTGGAGAAAAATAAAAGAAGATGCGAGGAAACGGAATAGCGCCGTCAAAAGCTCTTTCAAAATAGAAACACCGCTATAAGCAGCGTTGAACTCGAAGGTTTAGAAAGCAGCCAAGAAAATCAGGGCTTTGGAAATCATGTGGAAATATTTATTTAGAGGAAGCCAAACTAAGTGTGCGAAATGTTTTCAAAGTCGGCAATAAAGAAACTTGTCATTTGCACAAAGTTGGCTGCGTGGAAATGTGGCAGGGGGGAAGAATGAATGATGAAAATCCAAACTTAAATAAGAGTGGCGAGAACGTACTAGACGTGGTTAAAAGCTATATAGGTGAGACTGCTTTAAAAATAAATGCCTGGGTTGTTCCACAGCCGAATAACCAAAACAGTCTCCCACAAAGTCTGGAGACGTGGGTGTCGAGGTGCACAGACAGAGATGCTCTAACCGAAAAACCTTTGGTAAAACATTTCCTAAGAAATGTCTTGTATGCAAATCTCGTCACAGCAGGTCCTCTACAAGAAAGCACTCCCACATTTCAGAAAGTCGGCTCTTCTCTCTCAAACCCACAACACAAAATACACCTTTTCTTCTGAGCAGAGCAAAACACTGAGTGGAGACGAGACATTTAAAGGTTCTGCTTTTAATTCCTCAGGTTGTTTCCTCCCGCCTGCAGCGAAGGAGCGTCAGATGACTTTTCTTCTTCTTCTCAGTGTAGACCTCACCCACACCGACCGCAGATGAGATTAATAAAACAGAAAGTCATTTATGAACATCTGAAAGCTCGCCTATGAGATTTGGTTTGATAACAAAAAGGTTTTGGATATCTTTTCTCTGTTTGAATCTGCTTCTGAACCTCCAACGTACTGAAAACGGGGAAGTCAGACATTCATTAAAAAATTTTTTTTCTAAAACTACGAAAAAAAATTATAATCCAGCATTTGTTTTTACACTGCTCAGCAATAAGCTAAGCATACAGCAACTCAAATTAAACAATTAAATAACTCAGTTTTTATAGAAAACAGAAGCTCAAGTCACTGTAGATGCAAAACAAAAATGAGTTTTTCAAATTAATAAAAGAAAAGAGTTTGCAAATTAAGTCCACCCCCAAAATAAAGAAAAAGATTCTGCCTATTCTCAGGATTTGTGTCGCTGTCTCTTTAAAGATGCCTGCTGATTCAAGCGAGGTTTAATCAATAAAAGCAGATTTGTGCTGTTGGTCCATTGATATTTACTACGAAATTTGAGAGAGGAGAAAACACGGTTGCTAAAAGTAAAATACTTTGAGTTATGTTTAATATTTTCCAATGTAAAAAACTTCCATCAGTAAAAACTTTGCTTTAATTAAAAATAAAAAGTCTCTCCTGCCTCAACCACTTGCTGTGACAGGCCCCACAGACTCATCAGCGTTTAGTCCTACTTGTGTTTCTCTAATAATAGAAACCAAAACCTTTTTCAAAACTGAGAACAGTGAGTAATAAATCATCTTTTCCTTTAGAAGAAGAAAATAAACATAAGCGGAGACAAGAAACCTTCAGCGTCTTACCTGTCTGCAAAGCAGCTCGCCGTCTTCTTTGAGTTCCTCAATTTATTTCCTCCCTCCTGCTGCGAAACAACGTCAGAAAAGGTTAGTTTCTCAGTATGAATCTCACTCAGAATTGCAGATAAAGTGATAACACAGAAACTGACGTCTGAACTGGTGGTAGATCACTACTGAGATCTGCTGCCTAATTGACAAAGGGTGAGTTTTCTCAGTTTAAGTCAATCCTTTCTGCATTTCAAACAACATCCTCTAATGGTAAGAAATCTATTTCTAAGAGAAATGCTTTGCTCTTGTCTCTTATTGAGACGAGCGGGGATTTTCTATATTTTGCGTTCCCTCACTAAAGGTAAATATTGCAGTTCAGCACCTTAACCTGGCAACACCAGAAGAAACAAGCTGTGGTCAGTGTGTGATATTCTTGGTGCGAAATCTCAAACGTCAAAATATGCATTCGATTGCATATTTTGCGACCCGACTCCCTCTCGTCCTGCTACGCGCTTTAACTCGAACAACGGTCGACGGTTTCCAACGATCCGACTGAACCTGGCTGCTCTCGAGCTTCTGCATCAGAATCACAGGAGCACTTGAAGTGAGTCACAAACAGGACGAAAGGAAATGCATGTGTGGGTTCACGTAGGATTCGTGGTCTGCGGTTATTGCAGCCTAATGCACCAGAGCTCCCCTGCAAACGTCTCTGCACAACAACAGCAGCTGGAGAGGATTGTCTGCCCATTGTGCTAAACGAAATCCCAACAGAACATGAATGTCTTTGGCACAACATTGTTGTTTTTTTTCCCTGAACTAATAAATGGCACAATTGATGACTGACTCCTTTTTTATTGTCATTATTAGCGTTATTATTATTTTAATTATGTCTGCAAAGCGCTGTGCGTGTTCTTTCATTTCCGTGTGCAGGCGCTCTCACCTTCTCCGGTCACCTGTTTGTGCGGTTTAATAAAAGGTCAGAGTGTTTTTGTAAGAACCAGAACATGTTCCATTATTTCTGACAGGTGCACATCCTGCTCAACAACACCTCCACCCCTGTAAGCAATTTTAATCTGATTAGACGGTGGAACTTTTTTTAGAAGTCATAGTTTACCTAAAAGAGAGGGGGGAAAAAAAATAAAAAAGTGAAGTGTGTAATTTTTTTTTAGGTGTGTTATCAGTAACAAGAAAAGAAGAAGTAGATATTTTAGTAATTTTAGCATTGTGAAAAGAAATGGCACTTTCTATTTTAGTCAGATTTTCCAATCAGGTTGGTGACCTTCAGCCACCAACAACCTTTACCTTATCTAACAGCTGTATGCTTTTGTGCAAAAATATCCCAGGTCAAAACGATTCTGTATGATTTACTTTGCTTCTTTCAGACTAATTTTTATGTTTTTTTTCCCAGTTTGGAGCAGTAAGATTATTTGAAACACTGACTAGGCTGCTCATTTTCTCCCTATGCGGTTCTGCTTGATTTTCCGCTCCCTTAACTTCTTTGTCTGGGATTTCTCCCATTGACCTGGATTCCTCCAGTAGAATTTCCATCGGCAAACAGAGGGAGAAGTTGTGAACGATGACGTCAATTTTCCGCACCGTTTCAGAATCAACGGCAGCGGAGGAAGTGAACGAAGCCGTCGGGTCCGTGTTGGTCACTCTTACAAATACCGAGTTAGCCTTAGCATCAGCATCCAAATGGCACATTACATAAGTCACAGGCTAATAATGAGGTTAGTTTGGTTTGATGTCACTTAAACCAAACTTTGGTTTGATGTCACTTAACCTGTTTGCATTACTAGACAGCTATATACTAGGCCACAGTTGAGTAATGGGATTTCCTTTGATTTATATTCGAGTCAGAATGCAGATAAATTGTCAACCATTTACTGTTGAGGCAGAGTAAAAAAAATAAATTACTCAAGTGAGAGTGTAAAAAGAATTTGGTAAAACAGGCGACTTTAAAAAAGAAAAGAGAAAAGTAAAATTACATCATCAGATGGACAAAAATGTAAAGCTTTTTGGAACTTTAGGTATTTTAAAGACCAAAATGGAACTAATTCTAACGGGTAAGATGATTACAAAATAACAAAATCAAACAAACATGAACATTTTTCCAAGTCAATTTTGTTTTCAATTTTGAAACTTTAATAAAAATTGCAGGCATGTGTGAATCTTTGGTTAAAACCTTGTTCTTCGTTCTGTTAGTCAACATGGGCAGAGGGTCCAGAAATGTTACTGGGTGAAGCAGCAATACTTCATAATAAGAAGACTCAAGTGAAAGAAAAAAGTCCAGCATTGTAGAAATGGAGTATTTCTAAAGTTGCTAAAGTAACGATAGAACATAACTCTGCTCCAGAGTCACTGAGTCTTATTTGAACTCAGGCCAGAATGGATGCATGGATTGACTGAGATTGAAAAATCTGCAAACATTTTCAGCGTTGTGCCTTTCATCTCATCATGTTGAACACACCGGCGTCCAGATCAAAGCTGCCGGCGTCCAGATCAAAGCTGCGCGTCTGCACAACAAGCTTTAAAGCCACAGAGTGAGATTAAGAGCAGCCTGGTTCTGCAGAATGAGTCATATTTGGAAATTTGAGTGACTCACTTCAATTAACCTTAAAACACATGTACAAAACAGCAGCGACATGTTTGGAAACACTACATTTTTAATAGCATGATCAGATTAAAACTCTTATCTCACTTGTCAGGGCTCTACTTAAACTGTGCCTACAGCTTTAAGATAGAAAAAAAAAACTACATTCATGTTCTGTTTCTGTCTTCCTCTGACATTTGGACTTCCCCTGATCGGGTCCAACGAAAAAAAAAAAAGACTGAAAATGCAGACTCTCTTTTTTTTCACTCTGTTTTTATAGAGACTCAAGCAAGAAAACGACCACAAACTACAGAAAGTAGAGAAAAAAAACCACTTCCTAACCTCTTTTTCTTCCCGGAAATCTACTTTTGTTTCTGACAAGAAGTAAAAGAAGAAAAAAAACCTTTTGGTCATGTCCTTATCGATAATTTTTTTTTATTTTATTGACTGGTAAGTTGTAAAAATACTGAAATCTAACAGAGAAAGTGCAGGGTTTTGTTTTTTTCATTCAAATGAAGCACTTAAAGAAGGAATATTGCAGTCGTGCAAATCTTTCATCTGACTGAACTGCAGGTGAAGGCATGTCCCTTTTCTTCACTGATAAACGAAAACACATTTACTGTTTTTGTGTTCTTGGAAAAGCAGATTCCATAAAGGTGATTGGTGTTTTGCACTAAAGTTGTACTGTTAGAAGAAGAAAGTCTGAGAGTCTGAGCACAAAATAGGCCAAGTGAGTGGCCTATTTTGGTGGCATTGCAGAAACTGGCGAGCCAGAGCACCTCGCGTGAAACGCGGTGGCTCTCAAAAGTGAACGCACCTTTGATGAAACTCCAGGTCTGAAAAAGTAGAGAACATTATTTATAACTCCCAAACTCTCCTCCCCTTAATAATAACTGTACGTTTTAGCAGTAAAACAGTGTGAAACTGCACACCGCCTTCATATAGGACTTAGTTGAAGTCCTATATGAGTTTTCACACCCGATAGTTTGATTAAAGCTGACTATGGAGGACTGGTGTGAATGAACACATTGGGGTGCATTCGCACTCCCAGGGTGTCGTTTGTGAAAGTGTGAATATGCAATCGAACTCTGGTGGAGACGCAAGCAGACCGGAGACCGCTCCAAGAGGAGGAAGCGGATTGAAGCGCAGGGCATTCTGGGTAAATACAACCAAAACAAATGTGAGAGTCCAGCGTCAGCCGGTAAAATGGCTCGCTGTCTTTTACCAAAGACAAAGGAGAAATCTTACAACTGCTAAAATCTGACACCACTCCAATTTTGTTCCCAGAAGGAGGTTGAGCTCAGTGTCTTTCGCATCATTTTCATCAATGGATCTTGACATCTGCGTCGTTTAACTTTTGTTACAATGGGTAATGTGATCACATTGAACAAGGTATCAGTCAGGAGAAGGGTATAAAATAAGTTCACAAGATAATATATACACTACAGTAGAGTTAATATGGTTATCCAATATTTATAGGAAATCTAGAAATGGTACAATAACTGAAACTGAACTTTTCTGGTGAGTTCTCTCAATTTTGGGATTTTATGAAGAAAACCGATTTCAGGATATTTGAAAATTATAACATTTTAGTCAATTTCTTTGGGTACAACATGGAGCTGCTGGACAGGGAACATAGTAAACCTACCGTGCATCAGTTCATACATGTTGGTAAATATGACAACATATTAATGAGCTGTAACTTGAATTAGTAAAAAAAAATACATATATTTTTTTATAGAGGACAAAGCACTAAAACTGGATCCAGCCCAGAGCCCCACATCGTTTCAAATCATCAAAAATCCGGCATTTCAACAGAGTCCAGTTCACTTTTAAATCAGTCACATCTAATCTAGTTTCCTCAGCCGAGAACTTACAACGCAAAGGGGACGTTTCTGGTTGCAGGTGACGATTTACGGCTTCTTTATTTTTTTTTCTCTTTGTTTTTTCACAACTGAGTGAAAGCGGATGGATGGAAGGAGAGCCTGGCTCGACAGCAGGATGTGGCATGTGGGAGTGAGCGCCGCGAGCCACGGCTCAGTGGAAGAAAGGTGTGGGCTCTGTGCTGGATTCAAAACGTCCCCCTGATCGCTCTCGAGTCCCGCTGACCAGCGGGTTAAACGTCTGTTTGCGTTGAAACAGCACGTGGCGATGCTGCCACCTTTGACCTTTGGATACTCTGTGATGTCTGTCTTGTGTGTGAACTCTATGGCTGCCTACCTCCTCAACTGCTGGTGTCATTTCTCTTTCAACGCGTTTCCTCCCACACATTTCAAATAGACGAAAAAAAAACTTTCCCTTATCTCTTTTCATTTCTAATCTCACTATAAAAAATACAGTCAGGATAAGAATTAAATGTTTTCCACCTTTGTTTTTGAAACCTCACATGGTTCCAAGTTTACCCCATGTTTCATCAGTACATTAAAATACCTTCTTTTTTTGTTTTTAATCATTTTAGTGAACAACTTTAGGAGAGAACCGCGACATAAGATAAAGAAAAACTCTCAATCTCGTCAAGCCATTCTGGCAACGCGACAGTTTTATCTCATTTGGCTGAAAAATCCCTCCATTGAAACCCGCTGTGTTGTTTCCCCCCCCCCCCCCCCCAAAAAAAAAAAACACTTGACTTTATCGTCAGGACATCAACACTGAGGTGACAAAACTTCTGGCCGGAGTGGGTGAAGATAAAAACACGATGGTTTAACATTCAGCGCCTGTCAGAGAGGCAGCTTACCTTGGCAGCGCCGTTCAGTCCTCAGCTTCTCCCTCCTCAGCTCAAAGTGGTTCCTCTGCTCTTCTTCATGTTTCTCGTTCTGCCTCTCAGCAGTGACGACTGCAGGGGGGGGAAAAAGGAGGAGGACGTCCGTGACGCTCTGACAACAGAGCTGCGGCCGGACTGCGGCGTGTGGTTTCGTTGATAGTAACTGTGTGATCTGCAATACGAAACGACAGGGTGAAAACCCCAAGGTGTTTTTTTTTTTTTTTGTTCTTTGTTTTTTTTTTTTATCACAGCACTGCGTCAAAGCTTGAAGGAAGGAGAACCTGGCTTTGTGGAAACTGCTGCGTTTTGCTAAAGAAAACGATTTAAGCAGTTTTCTTTCTTTCTTTTTTATTTAGTTATATATTTTTTTAAGTCTCTTGCAAATTTAACGAGTCCCGGGTTGCGCCTTTTTTTGAGCTTGTTTTTGAACGTGAAGTTGCTCATTTGGGGTTGGAATTAAGCAGAAAGTCATAATCAACCCCAGATTTTGTCCGTCATTAAAATAGTTTTAGTCAGGCTCTCCCTGATCCTTCCAGCTGTGTGTTTGTTAATGTCATGCTCATATATCGCCTCTGAATGACGTCGAACTGGGTGTGAAAATTACTGTGCATTTCAGTGATAGATTTATACTTTTGCTATTAATATTAAAGCAACATTTGCTTTAATATTGTAAGCAGAATCTTCAAAAGTGAGCGGATTCTGCATGAGAAACATGAATTACATGAAAGGATAATAATTACTGTTTATTTATTAACGTTATTTGTGACTCCATTTGACAAATCGTATCTTTTCTGATAATTGTTTTCTGGTGACATGTCTTGCAGTGACATGCGCCCCAGATTCCAGCAGGGGGAGCCCAAGAGCGCTTAAATGCACAGGCCATAGACAGAACTCAGAAGAATGTCAACACAAAGCTGTAAGGATTTCAGCTTCAAAAAGTATGATTGTTTTTTTTAAATAACATAATTTACGAAGAATTTAAAAGATCTGACAAAGTTGATTTTTTCTTCATTTTAAATATAGCAGTGAATGTGCCTAAATTCAGAATTTAAATCAATAAATAATTAAGGCACACTACTTACATCAGAACACCTCAAAGACTTTAATGGACCTGCAAAAGCTGCATCGTGTTCATCTGTACCATAATTCATTTTAGGGCGTCAACAAAGCAAATTCATAAAGTTGCAAAGTCTTCATTCATACAACATAATAAAATGCAGCAGCGCCGCAGCCAACGTGTCACCCAGTCTCATGCTGCGTTGATGCACCTGTTGAACATTCACTCCTCCACCTGGCCTGATGAACATGGAAGAGGCTGAAAACCACAGAGGATTGCATTTGATCTCTATTTCCTTTGGGTTTTATTTATTTTTTTACAGATGGAGACTCAGTCAGTCGTGCAGGTATGATGGACCTGACCTTCGCCTCAACTCTTTTTGGAATCTTCTTTTTTTTCTCTCCTTTTTTGATTTGCTGAGACCAACGCAGGATTACGTGTTTTTCATGGGGTTCAAAAAGATGCATCACTTTTTTTTATCTCACAAATATTAAATGAGAGTAAAGTCTTTCTGTTGACATACAGGTAAAGTTGATATAATTATGATTAATTTTCTTAAAACTCTTTGAATTCAGAGACGTACAAATATAGTTAACATTTGGAAGAAGTGCTGTCATGTTCCGTGTTTTTCTGTTGTGTGTATTTGAGTTTTCTGTGTCCTGAGTTCTCCTTGTTGTCCTGTCTTCCCCTTGATTGTTCCCAGGTGTGTCTTGTTCCCTTGATTACCCTCAGTGTATTTAGTCCCTCCTGTGTCCTTTGTTCCTCGTCGGGTCCTTGTCGTACTTTTGCCTTTGTCTGCCGTTGTGTGTTTTTTTAGCCGCCTGTATGACCAGTTGCTACCGGCGTTGAGCCCTTGCTTCCGCTCAGCCGTGCTGCCTGGCCGGACTACGTCTTTGACTGTTTGTTGTTGTTATTGGACTATTTTTCATCATTAAATATTCACCATTCACCTACCTGGATCTCCAGCGTCTGCCTCACCATCTCCACTTCACCACTTCATGACAAGTGCATTTTAAATTGTACGACTTGGGTCAAATGTGCTTGACCTAGACTGACTGGCTTTTGCTGGCTTTCCTCATCATGACATCAACAGTTTTAAGAAGTGCACAAGTCCCTCCTGGTGCAAAACTCTCACAAACATGATGCTGGAATTGCCACAAGTCCAACAGAAGACTGGTGAAGTTTCCCTCTTATTCTTCCAAAAGTAATAAAGTTAATCATGGCCAAACACCTCAGTCTTACTTCTACCAACCCACAATGCATTGCTCCAGAATGTGACATCTGTGAGTGCACTTTAAAACCTGAATCCAGCTTTTGACGTGTAAGAAGTCATTTTAAAACATTTTCAAAAGTGGACTGGCAACCGGTCCAAGGACCAAAACCAGGATACGTATAAACTGACATCAGAGAAAAAGAGAGAAAAACGATATTTGTGTAAAACATCTGGTTTCAGTTGTTCATCCAACAATAAAGCAAAACACAAAAAAACAAAACATAGAATTGTATCTCTGGAATAACTGGTAGGACACCAAATGTCAACGACTTCAATAATATCGTTTGCTTATTCTTTTGAAAATGTTAAAAATACCAAGTCAAACGTCTGACTGCGATGAATAAAACCAGCCTAAAGGTTGCAGAGTTTGGTACGAGTCAGTGGTTGTAGGCAAAACTTGAGTCACATGATGCTCCTTTTTCTGAAATACCAACATTTGTTCGACTTCAGCTTTCTAAAGCCACAGACAAACTCTGCCGAACTTTCACATCTGTATTTTCTGCATGTTGTCTTTCCCTGTTGCCCCAGCTGCAACTGCTTTGTTTGCCTTTTACAAAACAAGGAAATACTCTGATGTTTTAAAAGATTAAAACAACCATGCTCACCTTGATGAGACGCGTAAACGTGCAATGAAACAGTCTGAATTCTTCTGTGGTTGAAACATTTCTCTCCCCATGTGTTACAATCACACAGATATCCAAAGAGCTCAATCATTTCAATTAAAATAATGTCAATCTGAAAATATATGATTTCCTGTGGGATTTATTATCAAAATAATAATAAGTAAACACCCAAAATGCTGTAGTTAAGCTAAGTGACAATAAAAAACTGTCAGAAAACGCAAGAGGAACTATTCTGCACACAGGAAATGAAATTCAAGGAAAAGCTCAGTCACAATTGATCATGGCTCTTTTTTAAAATATTTCCTAATAATGATTTTTTTCCCCTGACATCCCCTTTTTGAGTGAATGTCATCCTTCCTGTCATATTTCTCCAAGTAGGTTTTGCAATCCCTAAACTTACGAGTCCTTTGCATTGTGCAAAAGTCGTGAATCATTATTTGTAACTCGATACCTCCAACCCCAGAGCAAAACGTTTTGTGGTTCGTCCATGTTGAACGATTTTAAAAGGGGCAGTCTTAAAAGTAAAATAGACTTTTTCTAACTTTTACATCATGTTATAATCTCTTTCCCATTTTTGGAACAACCTCAAGTTAACGGTTTCTATTCTGAAGCTGCAAAACGCATAACATTGTCCCCACGGTCACCAAAATAATCAGCTTGTGCAGGACAAAGTAGACGAAACGGATGCATTCTGAGTCCCATCCCAATCACCTCAATACAAATGTTCATGCCAAGATTAATGTACAATATATTAATCAGAAAGAGATACTCACCAGTTACAGGGGAACACCTGCTCCATAGACCACTGAGGCTCCCATAGCCCTGCTGGTGTCTGTCGCTCCAGCAGTGTGAGAGGGTACTGACGTTCGAAGCTTAGACTGCTGTCTCCTAACTGTGGAAGAACCAAAAAGGAAGAGGAAGCCACACACACACGCTTTTTTATGACTATTTAATGAAGTGGGTTTTTCTCTGACCCATCTATGTTGACTCAGGTTCTAAGTAACCCGAGTTTTCTAATGTGGGAAATTACAACTTCAATGCTTTAGAAGTATGATGGAGCAAAAGAATGATTGAGGCAAGTTTTTGTTTCCCATAAAAAAAAATGCAGATCTAAACCTGTATCTTAAACTTATGACTACAGTGCTGGGCTGTAAATAGCCTCCTCTCATGTGAGCACAATAAAATCTGTGAAGGAAGTTGCCTTTGAGGCCAACAGAGGACAGATGATGGTGAGTCACTAACTAAATCCCGAATATTTTTACCAAAAGTTCGCAGAAATTCACAGAATTTTTCTTCATTGTAGCGCATATGATTCACAGACTTTCTACTGCTTCCTTCCACTTTCCAGCCTTTCAATGCGTTTCCTGTGGATTCTTGTCTCCCTCCGGTGAATAAACGATGGGAATTGCTCATTCAACTCCCTTTGAAGTGAATTTTTCCAGTAGAATTTCAATTCTGCTTACGGAGCTAAACATCGCAGCAGCTTTATTTTGCAACTTTTTTGCGGATTAGAATTTGTTTCAGGAACGATCCAGAGGGGGAAATTATCTGGTGACCTGGCTCAGATAAACAAAACGTTCATTTCCCTTCTCCTGTAGCCAAAGAGATTCATTTTCTGCGGTCCATGTTTGCCATGAAACCAAAGCAGAAATATTTTTCTATTGCTTGTCTATATTTTTTATTGCAAGTCACATCTTCCACCGGTCCACCAATAATTATACAATATCACATATTTTCCTAATATTGCTCATCCCTAGAATTACATGTGTTAAAGTATTCTATGTATATTGATAAGACACAATATTGACAGCATGGGAGTTCCATATTTTGTTTGAGTTTTCTTCTTTATTCATCTCTAAACTGTGCAAAGGAATTTCACACTGAGTGTGTGCAAATTGTAAAATCTAGCCTTAAAGGTACCCGAAAACCTTAATACATAGAAATACATAACCACGCATAAAAAAGGTTAAAAGTTATTTTTAGCATAGTTGAAACTGGTTTAAAGGGAAGTTCTTGATTCGCAGTTTAAATATCAGTTTATTTTCGTCTGTATGTGCAATGAGTAAATGTCTCGCTGGAAAATATGCCTCATGACCAGAATGTGATCATTTGCACCAAACAGCATTTAGAAAGTACAGGTCACAGGTCAGAAGCCCATCGACTCAGCTAATCGTTTCAGCAAACGATGCAAACTAAACTCTGGGTCAGTGCTGTGTGTTTTCTACTGGGTCAAAGGTTCAAACACACATTCAGTGTTGAACACACAGAGGAAGACGGCTTAAAGCAAACCCATACTTTATTTAAAAAATGACCTTTAATAAAGTACCAATAAAGTAAAGTAACAAAGTAAAAACTTTATTGTTCATATGTTGCTTTGTCTTTACTATTATACACATTGGATGAAAAGTATCTGTCCCACTTTTGGGTATAAGTTACATTAAAACATGTGATATCTTTGCACAAGACGAACATAAACAGGATGTAGTTATCTGAGCTGAATCATCCATGTGTAAATGAGTCCACTTCTGTGGACTCATGGATTACATAAAGGTGGCTTCGTATCAGTTTAAGAGCTGATGGGAAAAAAAAAATTCCTTTGTAACGTTAAACTAGAAATTGAAGGCTGCTTCTTTCTGTGCCAGATCTGTGGCTGGCTGTAACTTTGTAACTTGAGGTGCTGGACGAGGTTTTCGTCATCTCGTCCCATGCTACGTCTTCTCGGCTGATCACAAGTGCTTCCCCCGGCCTTCAGATATGATGTGCTCGGGAACGGCACGGGTGTACCACTCCGACCACGCACCGTCGTACAAGGACACCCCCGGGTGTCCGCACTCGTGAGCTGCCAGCGCCAGGACGCACGCCGTCACGCCGGAGCCGCACGACACGCACACGGGACGGCCGAGGTCCACTCCGGCTTGGACGAAGAGCTCCCGGAGGCTCTCCTTGGGCAGGAAGTGTCCGGACTCCGACAGGCAGGACTGAAAGGGAATGCTGGCGGAACCAGGGATGTGGCCAGGCTCGGTGTCTGTGAAACAGGAAGGAGAGAGATAATTATGGATTAGAACTGTTTGTTGATTTGAGATAGTTCCTAAGAGCTACAAGTAGGAGGCGTTCTATGACATTTAAAGAGACAGAAAACACAGTATTGTATTTTGGGTAAACTGTTAACTTCTCAGTTTTAACTTTCCATGAGAGTATTTATTTTCACAAACACTCATAAGACTACTTGGAGACAAAAAAATGAACTGAAACATCTGAACTGCAAGAGCAGCAACATTTTGTGCAATTCCACAATTGCAGAATTCACAGAAAATCAACAGATCCCTGCATTTTTTTGTGTTAATACATAGTTGTGGGATTTTTGTCACAGATAGTCAATAACATTGGGTTTAAGTGACTGCTAACTCCGACCTGCAGGTGGCAGTATTTCTAACTTCTACAACACTACTCCCAGTGTTGACTTTTCATTGTGAAACTATGACCTAAAAGGCTTGAGAAAAAACACGAGTGAAATCTAGGACTTTTAGAATGATGTCAGTTGTACAGAAGAGCTTAATACATTAAGAGAAGGTTAACTTTGGTCATTTGCTTGCATTTCTATCTAGGACTGTTGTAAACAAATATTTTAGTAATCGATTATTCTTACGATTAATCAAGTAGTCGGATTTAATAAAGGATAAGATAAAACAACAACTCAGGTGGAAGTGAGAGAGCTGTGCAGCACCAGTAATGACCCGGCCAGAACACGGTGCATTAAATAATGCACCATGCGCTTTTAACGAAGCTTCAAGGCAGATCAATTTTCCTCGAGGAATTGTTATAATCGAGGTACTCAAATCACTCCAGGAATCATTTCAGCCCTATTTCTATTAATTACTTCACAAAATTATCTAAAGGACAATTATACATCAATATATCATTATGTTTTTTAGGAGCTAATGCATTTTTTCCCCCCACATGACTATTACTGTCAAACATCACACATTCGTCTTCCTCTTTGCTTTCTTTTCTTACCACTGTTGCTGAACTTCACCACCTCAGACACTATAATCTACACCAGGTGTGGACATCAAGTGCTTAGAGTCCATCCAATTAGCCGATTATGTGATTAGCTTGCAGAGTGAGAACCTTTAGCACTTGATATATAAAGCCTTCAAAATACTGCAGCCCTTTGTGATTTTCACATCGAACACAAGGATGTTACAATTAGAAGTGCGACTGTGAGGCTCAATTGTGAAGATTTAATTGTGAATAATCACTTTAATGATACACGCGACAGTTAATACATTAAGTGGCTTTTGCAGTCATTTTGACCATTCAAAGCGCTTTACACTTGAGTCACGTTCGCACTCACAAACACATTTACACACCGATACGCAGACCGGCCTTGCCCACAGGCACATCGACGTGTGGCAGGAGGAAGCTGGAATCGAACCCACAACTTTCCGATTGCAAGACGACTACTCTGCCATACAGCCAAGGTCGCCCATTAAGTAAGCATGCAGCGTGCAGTGTCTGTTTCTAAAAACAGTTTGACGCAAGTTTTGACATGAACATCATATTAAGCAGATTTCAGTAAAATTTCATTTATCAAAATATTAAAGAGGACAGATTATCCACTTCTAAATAAAAATGTAAAACTGTTTTTTTTTTTGTTTTGTTTTTATAAAAGTTACATAATGCTTCTTTATCTCTGGTCATTTTAACATTGTGGGGGGAAAAAGGCACCTCCACAGGATGCTACTGCCTCCACCTTGCTTTACTCCACCATATGAAATGTTCAAGCTAGTATGCAGTGTTTCTTTTGTGCCATGCAGAAAGTTGAACAAACGTCCAAGCCTTTAGTTCACATTGTGAGATTTTTACCCTCCCCCAAAAAGAAAGAAGAAGAAAACAACATTATTCTGCACTTTTTTGTTTAGGAAAAGTACACAAAACAAAACAAATGTCTGATTTGCAGCATTGGCTGATTATTGGGAGGAAGTGATTTTATAACAACATCCTAAAGGGGAGATTCTGAAGCTGTAAAACTTAATGAAGAGTTGCTTGGAGATGACTTGAGGTGCCAAGGTGACTGTGAAGGTCACAGATGAAACTCAGAGTTGAAAGTCATTTGGGGGGGATTGTCTTATACTCACTGTCTCTGGGTTCAGGGTCCACTCCTCGGAATCTTCCCGCGGACCTGGCATCCACCACCTGGAACGCTTTGGTGTCCAGATTATTCAGCAGGTCGTCATAGGTTTTAATCCAGGAGCGTTTTAGGGACGCCTTGAACTCTGTGGGAGAGGGTCTGACGTGCTTGTCGCTAACCGGTCGACCCTCCAGCTCCCAGTTCCTGAACCCCCCGTTCAGCAGAGACACCGCGTCATGCCCGAACACCCGGAACATCCACCACACGCGCGGCGCCGAGAACGCGCCGAAGTCGCTGCGGTCGTATATCACGACGTGCGTGTCGTTTTCTATTCCCAAATTCCCGACGTAGTCTGCGAAAACTTTCTCCGGCGGCAGCATGTGGTCCAGCGGGGAGGTTTTATCGCAGCACTGGTCGATGTCGAAGAACGCGGCGCCGGGGATGTGCCTCTCCTTGAACTCCTTTTTGGCGTTTCTCCCCATTTTGGGCAAATACCACGAGCTGTCCAGGACGCGCATTTTCCCCCGAGTCGTTAATGCGTCCGCGAGCCATTTGGTGCTGACCAGAGCTCGAGCTTGCAGCGCCATGGTCTGTCCCGCAGAGGAGAGTGAGCGGCTTGTGTCAGCTGGGGTCTGGAGTCGGACCTCAGAGGAGGGTGGGACGCGGCAGAAGGTGTAAAGGTAAAAGCAGCTATCCAAAGTCCTTATTGACCCTGCAGCAGTTTCTATAAAACACATAAAATCATTGATTTTTAAGAAAAGCTTCTTAGCCAAATTTTACCTAAACACATTTTTAAAGTTCGGGAATGATATTCCCACAATGCTTGCCTTGCTTCTATTTATTGTGTATTATTTATTATTGTTAAGTAATAAATAATACATCTGGACAAGACCAGCATGAAAGAGTTAACATATTAGTAGTAGTATTCGTATTAGTAATATTAGTAATAGTAGTGGCAACGTTACTTTGTGCTGGCGTGGTTGCGATTGTTATTGTTGGGTAGGAACTAATTGCTTATCAGCTGTTGTGCGGGGAGCTACATTCAGTGAGCACACGCGAGGAAGCTGTCGGACTCACATGCTTGTTTGGTGGTTCTAAAGCGGCTTACTTTAGATGTAGTTTGGATACAGTGCAACAAATCAGACACTGATAATTGGAGATGTCCGCGTCATTGATCAGGAGAGGCCTGGAACTCCTGAGCGATGATATAAAAGGTTAGTTTAACCTGTTAGCTTGTTACGATGCTAACATTAGCGGTGGAGCTAATTTGAGGCTCAGAGCTGATTTATTTATTTACTCTAGGTGAAATTAAGTTTTAAATAATGTTTTAAAGTTTATTTGAATTAATTTTTTATGACAAATTAATTTAAATATTTAGTATTCAGTCAGAAATAAAACCTTTTTTAAAGTGTGTTTCAAATTGTTGAGCAGTTAGTGGTGCAGTTGGCAAAAGCACAATGCTTTCAATAAGTATACAATATTTTGTTGTGACTGTCTTTACTAGATAAAACCAACAAACAAGGAACTAAATCATCTTAGTAGTATTGAGGACATGTTCCATCCTAATCTGACATTTCTGTGGCTTCTTCCAGACAGCAGTCGAGAGAAGAAGAAGAAGAAGCAGACCCCCAGTTCGGCCACAGTGATGGATCTGATCAGCACCAAGCGGCAGGGGGTCACCAAACAGGTCAAGAGGCTGCAGGGCCGCCTCGGGCCCGGGAAAAGCAAGGCCACAGTCAAAGACAAGCGGATCCGATCAGCAGTGGGTCAGAACGTGCTTTCATACCTCAGTAGATATTAACCATTAGTGTCCAGAGTCAGGATTAGCTGTAGGTTACACACCTGGTGTCTCAAACACTGGAGAAAAGAATTGTCTTGGCTACTTGTCTTCTATATCCATCATATTTTTATGGTACTATGTAAAAACAAGAGGTTTAAATTATTATTATTATTTGTACTTTTACAGAGGATTTTAGAAAAAACCAACCAAAGAGCCAGCTGAGCGCCAATCTGAAGTACTTTTTGGAATCAACGGTCAAAGCTGAAGCCCTTGATACAACGAAGGTAATGACAAGTTATTTTTCACTTATCAATATACTAGCTCTTTAATTCGTCACTAAAAAAATACACATAAACAAAAATTAACCAGATAATGCTGAAATATCAGATTAAATTATCACAGGGATTGTTCATGTCCTGAAAACCATGTTCATGGCCAAAATAAGTCTGACACTGATTCCTTTATTTCTTCAGCTTAATTTATTTGTTGGAACATTTTAAATGTCATTTGAAAGCACTCTATAAGAACACTAAATAAATGTACAATGAACAAATCAATGTTTGTTTTCAGTATTCTTTCACATAAGTAAAGAAACCATGATATTCGATGCCTGCGCACACGATTGATCCTCTTTTTCCTTCTTTTGGCGTGACTCAGATTTTGAGACACAGTAGAGGGAGGCAGTCAAGAAATCGCCCCAACGAACCCGTGAAAAAGTCCAGGGAGCCTCAGTCGTTGTTCACGGAGGAGGAGTTTGTGCAGTTCCAGAGGGAATACTTTGGCAGGACTGTGGAGGAAAAGAAATGACACCAACTCCGAGGGGAAACATCAAAAAAGGACGCAAACCACGGAGAAAGCAGCCGGACTGTGTTGTGTGGATCAAAATGGATTTTTCAGTGAGAATGCACTAGAATTTAATTCCACTGCACTCCACAGAAATACTTTATGACCGAAACAGTAATACACCCTCCCTATTTAGAGGTGGGATGTACAAGTTTATTAGATCATATTTCAAAACTTACTGTGGAAAACAGTAGTGGATGATTTGTGTACATTATGCTCTTCTAATTAAAAAATGTTGAAGAAAAGAAAACATGTTTGACTTCAAATACTTGGCAAAAAATTAGTGTGAAGTATTGCACTTCCCCTCTTCCTGTTATACTTAAGAGCGCTGATGGAGTATTTATACAGGTGAGCGGATAGACCAAACACAGCAGACGGCTGCGCATTAGACAATTAACAAGAGTGTAGCTTTACGGACGAACCTGAACATTTATTTCACATCAATAAATGGGTAACGAAGCACGTTGTGGCGGCACGTAGCTGGTAGATGTGTTTCTGTGTGTGACAAATTAAGGTATCAAATCCCGTTGTTAACATGAACACAAAAGCTATAAATGTCTGGGCAAGGTGAGAGTTCTTCTATTGAACTCACTGAAGATGAACACATAGACCAAAAGCTGGACTACAGACATTTTACCAATGTTTTATCTTTTTTTTTTATCAGATTATTCGATTACTAAAATATTCATTTACAACAACCCTAACCGGAACATATGAACTGTTTAAGGAAAAGCCTCTACTGTTTATACAACCTGTTGAATAAACAGTACAACTCACTACATACCAGAGTAATTACCGCCTTTGTATCGGGAGATGCTAACGAAATCAAGCCTACCATGGGATTGTAAGGAACATTGTGAAAGGGATGGTCATCTGAACAGATGCAGAGTCGGATTAGCCAGATGTTTGATGAGACGCAAAGAAAAGACGGGTCTTTTCCGGTTCCACAGATTCTCAGCTTGTGGTTCGGATACGAGACCGTGTGGAAACGTTCCTTCACTCAGAGCCAAGAGAGGCGTTTTGGATCTTTGGTCACGCCCTTTAGTCCGTTAAAATGTTACATTCGTCTACATCAAATGTCACCACATGAGACGCAGTCAGTTTTAGCTCAGAAAAACAAGATCCTGCAGGCTGCACCATGGAGCAGGTGAGAGAATTCAATTTTTTCAAGAATTTGAACAAGAGAGTAAAAGTTGAAAAAGAAAAAAAATATCTACTGGAGCTTTTAAAGCCTTGAAGGTGACAATTCAGTCATGAATACGTAACAGTATCATTTTCTTACACGATTAAAATTTATTCCAGATCCGCTTTGATCCAGCTTTAAATTTTGTGAAATTTTTTTCATGTACACATGCTCTCAGAAACTGTTTGGCTAAAAGGTATTCTTTTGCTTTAAAGCTACACTTTTAAAGGTTTCTTACATAAATCAGAATATGATATTTAAATGTTTGAATAATGTTTCTGTCCTACTCAGAAAACAAAAAGACCTTCGCACAAACAAATTGAACAAAAAATATGATGGTGAGAATAAATATGTCCCGTACCAAAATGTTCAAAACAGCACTTATTAGGCATGTTTTCAGAGTTACGAAGGCTTTTAATGGCACCTTTCATCATACATTGTAAGAACATCTAACTTTTTCATAAATGTGACATTTGTATTATGATACTTCATAAACTAAATAATAATTCTGAACTCATTTTTTAAACTCATCAACTTTTCACACTGAACTTCTCCAGGCATTTGTTACTGTAAACAAAATCATAACAATAATAATAATGGTAATAATAAATTGATAACTATGTTTATCTTACGAAACCTTTTCAGAAGTGTCTGAAACTAAAAGTGAAAGTATTAAATCTGGATGTTCCAGATAGACAGTGAATCTTGTCAGACGAGCCGTGCAGGATTGTTTCTGTAGTTCGTTGGCCTTTAAACGTTCCTCCACACGCCTGGATACATTTTGTGAAAGACTCCGGACTTGTTTATGTCTCCGAAATCTGCTCCCAAAAATGTGCAAATCAAGTTGAGAAAACTTGATTGAGTTCAAACTGCATTTGATCACGTCAACCGAATAAATAAATTGGCTTTTGCAAATAAATAATTTATTTGCAAAACTTGGAACTTTGTGAAAGGCCAAAGTTAGTGTCATGCATTGGATGCCAGACAATTAAAAGCTCCAATTAACAGTGCATTCTTCTTCGGCATATTCCAGAGAGGCCTAATCCAGTCACATTTTTAACCGCAACAAGGCTCTAAGCGGAAAAACAAATTAACACTTAACTAGAATTTCCTTAATAAAGATCTTCACTCAGTCATAACATTATGGCTGAAAAGGTGGAAAACCTGGAATTGAATTGCTCTACACTGGTTTAGCTCAGCTGTTCACATTTGTCAGTTCTAAATTTGAATGAACAAAGACAAGGTGGGGTTCCTCAGGGCTCCGTTATCGGGACACATTGTTCAGGGTCTGTTTAGGGCTTGTTTAAAACAGGAGTTTTGTTCACTGTAACTCACCTGCCATGCCGTACCATTTGCAGCCTCCTGTTCCTCTCCCGAGGAAGATACGCATTCAGTCACGATCCGTCGATAACGACTGGCTGAAATGTGATCCCACTCCTCCTCAGTCTCAGGTTTGAAAGAGAGGAAATCTTCAAATTCATACTTTGATGCAGCAGTGTGGGTCATTCCCACGAATGTTGACAATTGATACACTGCTAAAAGTCTGTTTTTGTGTGTCATCAACTCAGAACGGTTCAAACGACTCCACACCTCCACCAGTGCCTTTGCGCACGAATGTCAGAAGACAATATTCTGTGCCATATGAAAGCATCAGAGAGCAAGTCCAGGTACACAGGTTATTTTATTTTTTGAGAAATATTTATATTATTTGAGTAGTGTGGAGAATACCTTTTTTTTCCCCTTCAAAGGTGGATAAGGAGCTCTTTAAACCCCGACCTCCTCCGCTGCCGGCCAAGCCGCCACCAAAACAGCTTCTAGAGGAACCTGTTTACCTGGAAATTATCCAGGTAATTACAAAACAAAACTCTTACAATGTATTGATATCGGACGCGACTGGAAACTTCCGAGTGATGGTATGATGTATTTTTTGCCTCCTACAAGGATGAAACGTCCTCTGATGAGGAGATGAAACGTGAGTATGAAGCCTCAGTTATTTCTGCTGTTTTGAAAAAAGACTCATTTGCTAAACTGGGATTTTATTAACTGCAGCATGGAAAGAAATGCTTGAAGATCTCCAGCATAGAGGATTCACAGAGACAAGGCAAGTAGTATATAATGCTAGTTTTAAGTGGACACAATTATGTTGAAGCTGGTGACGTAAGAAGTCTTGGTGCATTGTGGGATTTTTGGAAGGTAATCTGTGGAGTTTTAAATGACCAACAATAGTGACTGACCCAAAGACCCAGAAAGCTGATCAAGTGTTGTTTCCTCAAATTAACTAAGCAACCCCTTCAAAAAAATCTAGTTTAATAGGGATGTGCGTATTTATTACCTCTTTATTTCAAAGGGGTTTTTTTGGCTCTAATGACCTTTATTTGAAAATGCTACGACAGGAACGTAGGTAATGAGAGAGGGGGGAGATATGCAGCAAAGGTCACCAGATCCTAAATGAAACCAGCGACGGCCGCGTCAAGGACAAAGGCCTTCTTGTGAGAAAGCAAATTTTACTGACAGACAAAAAAAACCTGAGAAAAATGAAGATATTTTTCAATCCATATATTGGTGAAATAACCGATAGCAATACCCAGTGCCGGGTATCGCTAACTAAAAGTTAGCTGAGCTAACCCTAATGCACTAATCATTATGTAATAGTTCCACTAACACTAAAGCGCTACGCCAAGATGATATTTAGTGGAAGCTCAAGCTAACACACTAAATTCAACCACATCAATATGGCATCTCACCTTCATTTGGGTCAAATTTGTTGTCCGTCCATCCATCCATTTTCTTCTTGTCCCCAGTGGGGTTGGGAGGGGTGCTGGTGCCCATCTCCAGGGAACATTGTTACACAGGAAAATACGTAATACCGCTCGTCCCCAGTGACAGCCAAAACCTCAACATGGAGGTAAAACCTTATGAAACAGAAGATTTACAAAACAGCCAAGTAAATCTGTGCTTTCGAATGTATCTGGAAAAATGGATTTAGTGGAAGCTAAGTGCGCTAATTGCTTTCAAACTTAGCAGATACTATACAGTGCTAAATAACAAATTAGCTGTGCTATTGGCATGGCAGTTAATAGTGCAGGTTGATATTTCACCTGCATCACACAAGTGAACCTTGAAATATTTGAAAAAGTAAAAGTGTCGATTCTTGGAAATAAATAAATATCTCTGACAAAAAAAAATAAAAAATATTTTAAAAATCTTAGGATGATCAATGCCAAAGCTGAAAAGCTGTATAAGGCCATTCAGAAGTTCATCCAGCTGACTTCTACACATGGCGACGATCTCAAGTCACACATCAAAGAGCTGAACAACATTGCTGACAATTTGGACAAGGTGAGGAAATCTTCATGGCGACAGAGAGGTTTGAAAATCCAACATATGCATACAAAAAAAAATTCATCAGAATTTGATTGAGCTGCCTCCTGAGACCCGGACTTTTGTTTGATGTGCATTTTTTATGTCTCCTTACTATTTGGGATTAGTCTGACCTTGAACTATGTCAAAACCAATGTCCTCATCAGAGGACATTGGGTCTGTTTTTGCATATAAATTTTTTCCTTGCCATTTGGGATCAAAAGGACCCAATTAGCCTAAAAATGAAATTTTAGCTTTCTACAATAAGTGGTGATATCAAAACTAAATGTCCTCATACGAGGACATTGGGTCTATCTGTGTGACGATAAGATCATTCAATCAATGTTATTATTTACATCTGTGTTTCACAGTATGTACATTTACGCTGCTTTCTGTCCAGACTTTCACAAGGAAGACACCATTGGTTAACAAAGTACAAGTTTATTTTATACTGTCAACAAACACAAAATTGCAGATAAAAGTGTGCAGCTTTTGCATGGAAAAGTGCAAAGTTTATGAACTTCATTATGAACATGTTATAGCGAACTCATCATTCTGTCTGATAAGTCTACCCCACCCATTTTTGCATTGTACTCCTGTACAATATTTGGTCTTCTGATGATTAAATAGCATTTGTCCTTCTTGGACCACCGCTGGCAGGTGTCCTCTGGCTCCTTAGCATGGACAGCAGAGAGCATCAGGACCGGCTTGATGTCAAACCATTTCACTACATTCAGTTTCCCAACTCCCCTGACAACTGATGCGGAGGAACCTCTGGCTTGCTGCTTCATGATCTTGTCACTTGGAAGCTTCTGCATTGCTTTTGGGATCCTGTTCTTCATGACTGTACCAGTTAGGTTCACCTAAAAACAAAACCAATTAGATAATCTCTAAGTGATGTAGCAAGGACAATTTTTATGGCAGCCATCTTGACGGAAAACAGGGTAAACCTGCACCCTTTTTGAAGGATGAGCCTTATTTTAAGTGTAATAAGACTTATTTTGACTAGAAATTAGAAATTTTGACTAGAAATAAACACAAATGCTCTTGGAACATTTTACGTTTTGCACTGAAGATAGACCTGATGTCCTCAAACGAGTACGTCATGTTTACAGACGTTGTAGCTTGCTAATATTACTGAAATATATCAAATAAGCATGCCAGGTGAAGCTACAGACATTATTGTGTATAAATAAACTAGTTTCAATCATAAAATTCGATTAGGATTTTTACCTTGTCCATGTTTCTGTCGGGAGTTGCCGTCGAAGAAATTGGCCGTCATCTCCGCCGTGCTTTTTTTTTTCAATCAGTGTAATTTCATTATGAGACCACTAAGTGGTGCGGGCATGCCCCCTAGATGAGGACAATTGGTCAAAATTCTTACAAATTCAGTATCATAGTGCAGAACAGCAAAAATGTAATGTCCTCATATGAGGACGCGGGGTCTGAGGAGGTTGATCTGGGTTCCTTTAAGTTTGCAAAAAACACAAAGATCGCCGGCATCACTGGAGGAGCGTCAACAGCAGCAGGAGGCGTGGCGGCTGCCGCCGGGGTCATCCTGGCCCCTTTCACCGCGGGAGCCTCGCTGGCCCTTACTATTGTTGGGGCCGGAGTGGCTGCAGCCGGCGGCGTCACCGGGGCGTCAGCGGCCATCGCAAACAAGGTAACACAAAGACTAAACCTCACACAATGACAGAGTTTATGATTAGTGTGTGTTGAAATAGTTTTCAGCTGATTTGTTGTTTATTTTTGCAATGATTGTTGTTAGAATGTGCCATCTTTCATAAATGTGCAACGATGGATAAAAACAACCACTGACTGTTCAAAATCCTTTGCACCTTCATACAGAATTATTTGTAAATCACATGTGCACTTGAGTAAAATATAATTCGTCATCTCATCTCTCTTTGATTTATAAAGACAGCTGGGTGTCCATCAACCATAAAATCGCTCAAATGGAAATTCAGAAAATACATTCGCTCAAAGGAAATGCATGCTAATTTTGACAAAACTCCCATTCTTCAGAAAAAAAAAAAGCTTTTGAAATGTTGCTTTTTTTTTTAGCCATACCCAAATAGATATATTTGGCAGATCTATAATGGAAACATATTTTTTGCATCACACTAGTCACATGATCAAAAGCCGGATGTTACTACCGGCTGAAACGTCGAAGACGACAAAAGGAAGTAGCAGTGGTTTGTTTTTTTAGACAATGAGCAGCTGGCTCCACCTGACAATTCCTGAAAAGTACTGTCATTCCGACGTGTTCAAGCCATAGCTTTTCTGTAAAGTAACTTATTTTATAGAAAACGCTACCTCCCAAAAATGTTACTCCAGTGCCTGAATGAAGACATCAATGACTCTTCTGATTGGCTGATATTTGATAAATAAATGACCAATTATCTTATGTAACTGTTTACATTCATCTTTGTCATGATTTTGAATAACTTATCACGTGAGCAAACTTATTCAAATGTGGTTTTAATTGAATTTCTCAATAAACAGACACTCTACTATTGTGAAATTGTGATTTTCTTCGACATTAGCTGGAGATTTGCACACATTTGTAATGGAAACGCAGCTACTGCTCGTCATTTTTACAGAAATTTAATAAAGTACTTTATATTTTACCCGAGACATAATATTTCACACCATTACGTCAAATGAAGAATATCAACGCAGATGTCACACAACCAGCTGTTACTGCTTTAGTTTAAACCTTTTCTATCACTATTTCTAAAATCTGTTTTTTCCAGGCGAATTTAATTCAAGACAAGAAGAAAATTGACAAAACGTTGAACGACTTTAGCGTCCTGTATGAAGACATCCTGACCTGCCTGAAGTTTATCAACGAAGGCATGGACCTCCTGAAGCAGCACGGCGTGACTCATCTCAACAAAACCATGATGGACTCGAAGGCTGCGGCCTGCGCGGTGCAGCTTGCCACCGGGGAGGCGAGCGCCATGGCCTCGGAGAAGAGCAGCAACGCTTGGGGGATGCTGAAAGGCTTCGCCATCGGCATGGACTTCTACTTCACCAAAGACAAAGACGGGCAGAAGCTGAAGAAAGGCCTCGAGTCGAAGCTCGCTCATAAGCTCCGCAAACTAGTGGAAGACCTTAATACTGGTGTGAACGAACTCATGAAAATAAATGAGGTGTTCAGTAAGCACATTGATTGACAGTGTTTTGTTTTTTCCTTTTCTGTTCAAAGACCAGTGCAGGTCGAGGTTCAATAATGTTGAACCAGCTTAGAATTTTCAGACAAGATAGATATGATTATTCATTCTGTGAAATTGAGCTGTCATTTGCTTTCCTTTCGACTTATTTTGTGATTTTTTTTCTGTGCTGTTACAAATTGTATTTTTAATAAAGTACGACAAAGATCAACACTGGACTGAGTCCTGCTTAATTTCTTATTGTGAATGACGCCCGCTGTAGTGACCATGACGTTTGATCTTTCAGTCACAAAAACTGGGTGTAGGACCTCTGATATACTTTCCATTAACTTTCCATTAATCATAGCATTGCGCAAATTGAACTTGGAAATATAAATTTGCTTACTGGAAAAACGGCAGTTTCGAAAAATGTCTAGTTTTTCCAGTAAGAAGAGTTTGCGCTGGGATCACTTGGTGTTCTTTTTATTTTTATTTTTATTTTATTCTATTTTGTTTGATCTTTTTGGCCGTATTGAATTTTGCTAAACTGCAAATGAAACCCTTTATTCTGCGTCACACGAGTCACATGACCAATAGCTACTAGTGAAAACCACGAAGTAGAGGACAGGAAATAGCCTCCTTGGTGGTTTGTAGTTTTGTTTTGTTTTTTTCTGAGGGGCCGGGGGTTTTCTGACAATGTCCAGATGTCTCCTCCACGCTCTCACAGCATCACATAATTCATAAAAAGTTGTCATTTTAACGTTCACATGTAATTTTTGTTTAATTTCTTATTGAATGGAAATACTGTATCTGCAAAACTGTGCTTTCTCTGCATTAGAGAGCAGGGAGGAGAAGTCAGTCAGAAAATTAGTTGTTAATATTCTGATCCAATGGTACAGGGTCAGGATTGTGTGAGACTTTCCTTTTCAGGCATTTTGTTTTTCCAGTCACACCCCTTAATCTCTTCAAATTCATCATGCTGGTATGTCAAATGCACCCAGTGCATACTAGTTCAGCTCCATTCAGATCAGCCGGACACTGCAGCCTTCATCATGGAGCAGGTGAGAAACTTTTTTATTTTATTTTTCAGCTGCTTAAGCCATAACACATGATAGTCATAAAATGTTTTACCTAACAAAGCACAGATTCAGTTTTCGTCACGAATGCATGCAAGTGGCATAATCACACAAAACTTAAAATTAATTCTAGCAGACGGACTGGGTTTGGTTTTAAGTTTTGGCAATGAGGAGGGAAACTAAAATGCAGATTTTATTAGTTCTTTTTCATTTCCACGCTACCTGAGAAACCATTTGGCTGAAAAATATTATTTGGCTTTAAAACTATCCTTTTAGAGAGTTCTTGAACTTCTTGCACAAATCAGTGTGTGGTGTTAAAACGTCAATGCAACACCAAATTATCCAATACTTTGCACCGAACAGAAAAAAATGTTCACAAAATTTAATTTAACAAAAAATGTGACGTTCAAAGCAATACTTTCTGCTCATGTTTTTCTGAGGTCAAGAAGTCATGTAATTTTGTCACCACTTCATTTTTAATACAAATATATTGCATGAAGTATTTATGATTATTAAAATATACAAATTCAGTTAATAAAATCATTAAGAGCCATCATCTGAACTTTTTAAGACCACCATCTTTTCACATTGAGACATTTCTGATTTGCTTCTGTGTATGGGGGAAAAAAACACTGAAGCAAATCAGTTTTTTTGTTTTGTTTTGTTTTTAATCAAAAAACTGATAAAAATTGATAATTTGTTTACCTTACATGACTGTAAGCTTTCAGTAAAACTAGAAGTGAAAGTATCAAATCTGGACGAACCGGCTAAACAATAAATCTCGCTGCACAAGCCGTACCAGATATTGGTTTCAGATTTGTTTTTAAGACTCAAGAAATGTGCCAAAGTTGAGAAATGACTTGTTTAAAACTCTTACAGTTGAAAACGCATGTTTTTACATACACCCAATGAGACGACATGTGCGCATTTTAAAATTTCAATTGCTTTTTGTTATTTGGAAGCAATACTTTTCGAAAGAGAATGATTCCTGATATCAAACAAATGTTCTGAATTTGAAGAAAGTTACAAAACAATATCTACCTTCAACCCTCCATTTTTGGAGCACATTTATTTGGGGTTTGATTGCTCTTTCTGAGAATATGCAGCGTTTCTACCTATTGTCACTTCAGTCCCTAAGTTTGTCCATCAAATCTTCGAGTGGTTGAAAATGCCTAACACCTAATCCAGAAAATGCTGATGTTAGTATTCCTCACAAATGCAAGTTTAGAGACCAACATCAAATAAGAAGAGAAACCATCTGGACTCAAACCTTTTTGATTTAAGACACTGAATGCAATTTCCTTCTGCAGAAAATGTAAACAGGAATTGAGCGGTGTGAGATTTTAGCGGTTCTAGGATTTCTCTTTCTTCTTTGCCAAAAGACCACAAGCCATTTTTCCCTCTGGCTTGATTCACACTTGGTTTTGGTTTTATTTACCCAGGAAGCTTTTGCGTCTTAGTTCACTTCCTGTTTTTGGAGCGGTCTCCAGGTCCGCTTGCCGTTCGCGTTTCAAACCCAAACAGAGTTCACATCAACAGAACTGAAGCTTAGGTTTTTAGGCGGACCAGAGTTGGATTGCGTATTCACTCCATCCCCCAAACAAACCAGTCAGAGTTCAACGAACCAGAGTTCAGTTAAAGTGGACTAAAAGACTGGTGCAAATGCACCTTGTAGAAACTGTGGACTTGTTTAAATTATGAATTTTGTTGACTGTTACGTACCCGGAAGGGCAGTAGATTATTTTATCTGTTGATTTCCATAATGTGTCATATACTTGATCTTACTTCAAACTTGAAAGTTTCCTTTAATGACTTGTTTAAATGTCTTTTTTAACTTCATTGTGTTTTTCTTTTCATTTATATTTATTCCCTCTGTAAATCACTTCATTTTATGAATGGGATTGTACAAATGTCCTTGGCCTGCCATGCCTTACCTTTTGCAGTCTCCTGTTTCTCTTCAGAGGAAGTGGAACGGCCTTCACACACAAACCCTTGATGAAGACGAGTGGCTGAGATGTGACCCTCCTCCATCTGAGGTTTGCAAGAGAAGAAATCTTTGAATTCATATTTCTATGCAGTAGTGCGAGTCATGACTAGAAATCTTTGGAATGAAATTCTTTGACCAGACGAGGCAACGTTCGTTTTTTGTTTTTTTTGTGCGTGGTCAACACAGAAAGGTTCGGGGGACTCCTCTCCTCCACCAGTGATCTCACAAGCGAATGTCAGCAAAAAAGACTCTGAACAAGATCAAACCATGAATGTCAGAGAGCTGGTCAAGGTATATGTTTGCTTTCTTGTTGTTTGGTTTTATGTTTGTTGAGTTGAGCTGAGTTGTTGGTTTTTGCTTTCAAAACCAATTTGTTACGTCTTAGAAAAGATATCACAACACACAGCCTTTCCAAGTGCATATGGAGGAACATGAGCCAAGCACACGTGTGCTGAAAAAGTTAAGAAGCTTTGTAAGAAGTTGTGTTGCGAGAGCACAAGAAACTTAATGGCAAGAACTGACTCAGTCGTCGGACTCAACTGTTCGTTTTTTGCCAGGCTTTCAACGGCTGTTACCAACAACGTCCTCCGTTGCTGTCCAGACCACCGAGCAAACAGGCCCCAAGGAAAATGATAAAACACGTGAGCATTTTCAACATCAGTAGAGGCATCAATGTTTCAGTAGATCCTCCAAATGGAGCCTTGACATTTTGCTGTGACTCTGTAAGCAGGACGACTCGTCTGTCTCCTTCAAGCCAATGACACGTGAGTGAAATGACTGAAATTAATTACCATTCGATATAAAGAGAAATCATTTTGTTGTGGCCATTATGTCCCTTCATAATCATGCTACTGGACCAAAAGGGCATCATGCTCATTATCTAGAATTTTAAACTTTCAGGTAATAATTTACAAATGAGGCAATCTACAGAGGAGATTTAAGAGATTTAAGAGATTTAGTTACTGTTGATTTCAGTAACTAACCAAATACATTACCAAATAAAATTATTAAGAAAAATATACAAGTATTTATAGTCACAACTTCCTACTAACTAAAAACAGAGGTTCACGTTTTTTAAGCATACAAAGCAGAAGGGGTAAACTTAATCTGAAGGCCTTTATTGCTGAACAGTTTTTGTGAATTTGCAGCATGGGACAACGTTATGAAGAACCTCAAGCTTAAAGAATTATCCAACAAACAGTAAGTAGCCTATTGCATCCCATGTTCTGTTATATGTGGAATATTTTTAGAATAAATGACAGAACGGCTCGTAGCACCATTGCCTCGTGGAAAGAATTGCGTAGATTGGAAAGACTCATATGTGGGTTCTCTCCACTGGTTCTCCAGCTTCCTCCTGCAGTCCACAAACATGACTGTCAGATTAACTGGTTGATTGTCATTGGCTGTGAGTGCATGGGTGCATGGTGGTGTGTTTCTGTATTGATGAACAGAGGAACTTTTATATGCTCTGTCTATATTTTCAATGGTTCAGATGTTTTAACTCCCATCTTTCTGAACTGAACATGTTCAAAGTCGTCATATTCTTGTAATGTTCCAGGGTCATCAATGTTCAAGCGAGGCATCTGTACAAAGGAATCCAGACTTACATCCAACTAATGTCTACACATGATGGGAAACTTAAATTGCTCATCTCGGAGTTCCGTAGCATCGCTGACAACTTGGACAAGGTAATGTCACACAGTACCATTCTGAACGTCCAGATGTCTCTCTCTTGTTGAAGTGGACGTCTGTTGACTTTTGGCTGAGCTGACTTTCTTGTGTCACGTGAGAACGGTTGTGCTTTCAGGTTTCAAAGGGAACAAAGATCGCCGGCATCACTGGAGGAGCGTCAACAGCAGCAGGAGGCGTGGCGGCTGCCGCCGGGGTCATCCTGGCCCCTTTCACCGCGGGAGCCTCGCTGGCCCTTACTGTTGTTGGGGCCGGAGTGGCTGCAGCCGGCGGGGTCACCGGGGCGTCAGCGGCCATCGCAAACAAGGTAACATGAAGACGCTTACTCAAGACTTTAATACTTTCACTTAAGTCAAACAGTGTTAGTGAGTTATTTAATAGTTTCAGCTAACTCACATTTTCCCTAATCTTTTCCTTAACCTCAATGTTCCAGTCATTTTCCGTAGCCATTAGCTTCTTTTGCATTATTGTGGTTGAACATGTTCCGTTCACAGAATGACTTTTAATAAATTTAGTAATTAATAAAGTGACGCGACTAAAGGGAAGTTAATAAATATCAGGATTAGTTTAAGTGCAACAAACACAATTTCTGAACTTCTAACATCTGTTTTAATCAGGCTAATCTAAATCAAGACAAAAAGAAAATTGAGAGAACCCTTCAGGAGTTCAAAGAGCTTCATGAAGAAATTCTAACATGCCTGAAGTTCATTAACAAGGGCATGAACCTGCTGAAGACCGACGGTGTGTCTGCTCTCAAAGTCATGGTGGACAAAAACGAGATGGTTTCAAAGGAGGCAGCCTCTGCCGTGCAGCTGACTATTAGGAAAGCGAGTTGTATGGATTCAGAGAAGAGCAACAACGTTTCCGGCCTGCTGGATGGCTTCGCACTTGGCATGGAAATCTACTTCAACAAAGATGGACAGACGGTGAAGAAAAAGCTTGCGTCGCAGCTCGCCGCAAATATCCGAAAACTAGCAAAAGACCTTGCCTCTGGTCTGGAAGAGCTTCATAAGACAAAGGATGTGTTTGGGAGCATTTAAAAAATAAATCTTGTACCTTTCAGAAATTGCGGTTTCTGACAGGCACAAGGTAGGAAAAGGGTATGGTTCAACTTGGGTTTTTTTTCTAGGTACATGCAACAATTAAAAATGCTTAATCAGCCTATATCCGATGATTGTAAACACTAGGAAATAAGCTTGTATTTTCTTTTCCTTGATATGTTGGCTTCTTTGGTACGTCATGTTATTTTTACGATTGATAAATTTCTGCAGTCAAGGATGAAACATGGTGGAATGAGCGTCGCTTATTTGGTGTCTGTGTTCAGGCTGGTTTTATGGTCTTGTACAGTTTTACTTTGTTCTAAGAAAGGTTTCAATACTGTCTTTATTTATATGTGTATGTAGGAATAATCACATTCCTTTATCACATTTTGTCTTTGGTACATCCAGGGGGCAGCCCAGTCCTCAGCTCTGCCCACCACTACTTCTTTTCATTCTTTTCTATGATGGCAGACCGCAAGAAAATTCGGGGTGAACACCGCCATCTACTGGACATTAGTGTGAAGCGGCATTCACGCGCATCCCTTACACTCAGTTTTAAAATTTTGTATCACGAAACTTCGAGTCTCAAGACGGTGAGGTTGGGTTTTTGTTTGAAGAAACTGGAAAACCGCACACAAACAGAAAACCACCCAATATAATAATAATAAAACAACAAGTATCTCAAAACAGCAATTTATCTGAATATAGTTTATTTTAACTTTATATATATATATATATAATATATATATATATATATATATATATATATATATATATATATATATATATATATATATATATATATTATATATATATATTCCAAGGACGAGACAAGAACGAGACAATAAAGAATATATTACTGTTAAAACATAGAAATGCATACAAATAATTTTCTCATTATGTAAAAATGCATTAAGAAAATATTAATTAAAGTGTTCCCCATAAAAGTTTTAGCAACATGATTTTTTGTGTCAGCTGAAAACCAAGGTTGAATGCCAACAAACTGTTTCTTGGTTTATTGTTTACATCCACACTGGCCTACATTTGACATAGGATTTCTGGGTTGAAACTCTGCCAGCTGTCGATGACGTTCACAGGGATGAGTTTGTTTAAATCTACACCATTATCCTGGTGAGCGGAGCTTCCCGTATCTTCGTTCGTATTCTCTTACAGAACTCCCTCGTGCTGTCATTTTAGTTAAAACAAACGCCTCTACTGAATAGCAACCGCGGAAGAATACAGGAGGCAGTGCTTCGACTCTCTTATAGCTTGGTGCGGCCGTCTCCGCCTGTTCTTCGGTTGTGTAGCTGTACATTGAATGGGATAGTCGTCAGAAGCTCTGAAGCTCAAAAATGGCAGTGTAAAGGCGTGCGGCAGCAACTTCTGCAGCGGCAAAAACTCGGCAGTGCAGCGGCTAAGTGCACTGGCTATTTCTTGCAAAATGGCGTAAGTATTTTTGATTCATTATGTCACAATTGTGAGGTTTTTAGAATGGACAATTTTGTGTCTCCCGTTGTTGTCTTTTCGACGTGGCCTCGTATTTTGAAGTTTTACCGATTACACGAAATGTTTTAAATTATAATAATTTAGTTGTTTGGTGTCAAATTCCGTCTGTGGCTGGCCAGTCGGGGGCATTTATGATGACAGTATTTAATCAAACGTAGGGCGCGTGTCGCCTAACTTAAATAGAAGTTCATTAAATAGTTTTTATTATTTAAAGAAGTACTACAACTGCGGAAAAACACACGCGTATTTAAACAGTTGTCGTGTTTATATACATTGGACACTGTCAACGTGGCGTGGCCAAAATGGCGCGGGCCGTTTTTTTCACCCTCTTCGACCGCCATGCACAGATGGCACGGTTGTGAAAATGGCGGTCATCCTCCCACATCTTCGCTGTGACTCATACAAAGAGGGCGGAGCCTGTCGCCCAAAGCATGACCAAATTAGGAAACGTTATTCCCCGGTGGAGGGCGGGGCGTTTCTAATCGAACACGCATTGAAGCTTTAGGTTGTTAGCTGGACGTGGCCTCCGCCTCCAACAGCAGAGATGTAATCAAATTGTTAACACTACATTCTGAGAATTTGCATTGTAGGAAGAGCCTCGTAGCTTCATTCGAGGAAGTGAAAATGTTGAATTGGTTTCAGCAGTGACACTGGCCAAACCCGAATTGTTGCGAATCATTTCCTTCACTTTGTGTTCCACTCGTTTATTCTACCAAAGAAATTTCCTCTTTTTGGTTTCAATACAAATATTACGTATCAACATTTTTTATTTATTGTCATGAATGACGTTTTTGGCATAAACGTTTATTTATTGTATTGCTACAATAAATATTCACAAAATTTCTGACTTCAAACCATGCATATGCCAGTTTTTTTTTTATCCCAAAGAATAAACAATTCCCCAATTTCCCCCCACTCCCACATAAGAATCGAGGCTAGGTATTTTGCAAATTTAGGAATGTTAGAGATTTAGTCTGATTTACTTTGTTGTGCTATTAGTTGACTTATAGCACATAAATTATTCTAACCTCAGGAAAATATGAGGTCTATGTACATAATACAATTACAAGCCCTTAAGAAGAATTTTCTTTAAAGAAAATGGTGTGTCAAAACTTTAGTCTGCCTCTGTGCAATAAAGGGTCAGACAGTGAACTCATTTGTCTTGTAAAATGTCCCGTACTAAATGCATCAAGTAAAAGCTAGTAACATAATTGATTTAAAAAAAAAAACATTTAGAATGGGGTCAGTGTCCCGAATGGCATATGAAAGAGTTGTATGCCATGTGTTCAATGTGATTGTTTTCTTTTTAATTGAAATCAGCAAGTTTTAAAATGTAGGAATATATTTTACATTTCTATTAACCATGATGCAATGCTTTCCCCCCAGGTCTCTCTCAGCAACCACCCTCAGCTTTGCTGCCCTCGACAGCAGTACCGGACCCCTCGACTTGCTGACGTCAGATTCCCATTTGTTTCCCCAAACCTTTTTGAGGCCTTTACCGACCAGCAGCAGCCATGACGCTATCCCAGCTAGCCTTGGAGGACATGGAGGCCCTGTGCTTCGGTTCGTGTTTGGGTGGCAGATGTTGCTAACGTTTTATTTACAATACAGAATATTGAGTATACACTGTTGACTCAGAGGTTTTGCAAAAATATTCATCTTGTGTCTCACTTTGAAATCTTGGTCGGGAGATGTTTGTGGGGTGTTTGAGGATTAGAGTTTGTTCTTTGGTAGATTTGAGTCTCACGATAACTGCTTGTCCACAGGGTCCTCGTTTTTGATGGCTGACCACATGGGGCCCCTTCTGGACCAAGATGAAGAAGAAGCTTTTTCTCCTTCCTCCTCTTTCGAGGTGAAGGCGCCCGCTTCGCCCTCCCTCTCTTTCTCTTCTTCCTACGCATCCTCCACTTCTCCTTATCAGACAATGTCATTCTCTCCGTTCTCCTCCACTTCCCCTCCGGCGTCCCCTCCCCTCTCTCATCCCACCAAGCCTGAAGCCGAGCTGCTGTCCCTGCTGGGAGCCAGCGATCTGCTCAGTGGCCACGGAGCAGGTGATGGCAGAGGTAAATAAATGGTTGCTCAAAAAAATGTCTGAAATGCTCTTTTCAATAAAGCTTTCCCAAAGCTAACAATCTTTTTGTCAACAGATGACGATTTGGGCGACATGGAGTGGATGTCAGAAAAGATCGATTTGAGCGACTTTGACTTGGAATCTCTAATTGGCTCTTGCTCAACCGAGTCGCCAAGTTCCCCTGAAGATCTCCTGGCCTCACTTGATTCCCACATGGATCTAGATTCCTTTGACAAAACCGTCTCATCCCTGCAAATGAGCCCAGAACCAGACGTCCCCTCATCACTTCCAGAAGCCCCTCCTGTGGCTGAAGACGAGGTGGTGTTAGATCAGGAACTTGTCCTGAAGTCCAAGCCTTCATCACCACACCCTTCGTCATCTCCCGCCTCTCCGGCCTACACGTTGGAGTTGGGGAGTGAAGTTGACGTCTTGGATGTTGAGAAAATGTCCCCATCTGTCGCCACTGCCATCATCTCAAACTCCAGTGAAGTCCTTCAGACCAGCAGTCCAATTGTGCTCTCTTTTCCCACCACTCACTTTGTAGTGGTTCTGTCAAACAAAGATGCTCTCCCCAATTTGTCCCATAGCACCGCTCAGTCGAGTGACTCTGAAAGCGACTCTGGCATAGAGTCGGCTGCCGGGTCGTCCCCAAGTCACCCGTCCCCCCCAAACTCACCCGTCGCCAGTTCCTCCAGAACCAAACCCTATTGCAAACCAGAGCCTACCTCTCCCAAAACCCCGAAAATCAAATCAGTGTCTGGTGCACCCAAGGTGGTGGAAAAGAAATTGAAAAAGATGGAGCAGAACAAGACGGCCGCCACTCGCTACCGGCAGAAGAAGAGGGTCGAGCAGGAGCAGCTCAGCTCGGAACTGGAAGACCTGGAGAAAAGAAACAACGAGCTGAAAGAGAAGGCGGAGTCAATCAGCCGAGAGATCCAGTACCTCAAGGACCTGGTGGAGGAAGTCCGCAAACACCACCGCGGGAAGACCGCCTCAGTCGCCTAGACACCAGGATATGGCCCAATCTCTGCAGTCAAGAGTCGTAGCGTCTTGAGTTTCTGCTTCCATGTTCGCGCACTTTAGCGAAGTAAACTATTTTGTAGCATTAGGGAATTAGAGGTTGGTGTGTGAAGGTGTTGGAACAGATTCCTGACAGGGAATGTTTTACAGTTTGAGAAGAGTATGGAAGTTAATGAGATTAGCTAGGAACGGGGGGCTGAGGGGTAGTTAGGTGAAGCATCTGTACATGCTAGTCTCTCAGCCCCCTGTGTGAACTGTGACTTTACATCACCACCTGTACAAACGGGCAGCTTCTGCAGTTATTTTGTAGACTAGAAATGCAAAACAGAAATCAAAGTAGCTCAATTGTCAACCAGACCCAAGAGTAGTAAGTGATTTTTCTGCAAAGTATGATCTTCCTTCCACCTTGACATTGCAGAGTTCTTTTTAACCTGCTGTAACCCCCCAGTTTCATCTTCCTCTTGACAGCTTCAAGTCCAGAAAGGGGCCAAATAATTTTCAAACAGTTGGTCAAATGTCAACAAGAATTTGTGTAAATAGCTTTTGTTTTTTTTCTTTTCTCCCTCATCACTTGGTTGTGGATTTGTGACTCTATTTAATGGTAGATAAATCTTGATGTCTGCTGTAGTTTTCTGACTTGATGCACATGGTTGGCTTGTAAAACGCATTGCTTTCGGGTTGTTTCCTAATAAAGATTATTGATACTAAACATGATGTTCTGCCTCCTGTCAATGTGATTGGCAATACATTTGAGCCTTACACCAGCCTACAGTATGCTGGTGGACTTAAAAATTCAATATGTACATAGAAAAGGCATGTATAGCAACAGTTTCAGGCACATTTGATTCTGTTAAGGATTATTACCTACCTAAAATACCTCTTAACAACATTGAACGTGGAAGATTTATAACGTTTATACTCTGACATAAGTGAGATTATGTAGCAATAATCAATTTACAACAAATATCTCAAGGCACTTAAATGTAATTTCTATTCAATCATTTCAGCACTAGCAGCCATCTTCCATGACCGACTGAGAGTTGGAGAAGACCACACAGACTAAAGAACTGA